CTGTTTGAAGAGTCGAGAAGGAGGGAATACGATGCTCGATAAAAGGTCAATTGATTCGGTAGTCCAAGGAACATCCTTAGATTCGGAACGGAATGCATTGTTGGTGCTTTCGATTTCTTTCGTTGGACACTTTGACTGGGCTTGTTTGAGATGAGAGGTTAATTTTCTGAAGCCCGTAAAACGTACTTTGTCACTTTTTTGTCAATGAGGCTTGCATTTTAAACGCGAAAATAATTGAATAAGCGATGTTTGGTCCATCTTGACGTATCTTTATAGCCACTATACCTGTTTTTGGGGTATTTCCCGTTTGCTTGAGGTTTTTTTTTGATTTGTTGTTTTGTTTTTAATTTTTTTTTTGCAGTTTCAGTGCTTAACAAGTTCAAAGTTGAGAGATTGTTTTGAGAATTCTGCCCTTGAGTATGTAAAGTTTCATTTCTCCACCATTCAATTGAAGAATTTTCTTATGTTATCGAAAAATCAGCTTCATTGTGGATGTGTTAGAGGATGGAGCGAATCAGCACCGCTTGATGTTCCAGACACTCTCCGATTTATTAACGTTCCTGAAGTCCTTAAGTGGCAAAACACTCCACCAAACATCTTACAGATCCCCGTTTTGTTGTTGTAAGTTGTAGTAGTTGAGCAACTGAATTTGTACTTATGGATTAAGCAGATGGATAAGTTATTTTGCTCATTTTGTTATCTGCACGATGTAAACTACCTCGCATTGATCTTTTTTCTTTATTTTTAATTTTTTTTAGGTTTTGGTGCATTTGAAGTTTAACGATCACTTTCACTATGATCTTTTCTTTCAGATATCCAAAGTGGAACATTATCTTCCGATTTTGAAGGCATTAGCCACCGATATTGTTCAGATTTGCGAACGTATCGATGCGTTACGAAATCGATTATCTGTATTAAAACAGTTATAGGGGAATACCCGATTTTTGCTCTTTATGTCCCTTTTTTGTTCCGCTTTTCGTTGTTCTATATTTTCACAGGTCTGGAGGAATGTTCAACGATTTTGCTTTGTTTCGTTTATTTGTTACCTCGTGATGTAAGGATCACTGTGCAGCAAATGCAGCATATTGTTAAGTAAGGCATTTTATGTTAAGTACCTTCTGTAAGTGGAATGCACTGTTGAACAGAAACATGAGGCAGATATTCTGTATGCTTTGCTCTAGCAGTCATCATCCCCGATGTCTTCATCTGCATCAGAAACCGGTAACTTTCTACTATGCGCCAATTATGCCTTAAGACTACTGTATTATATATGCAGTGGCAAATAAATTACTGTACTGATCAGCCTTTATGCGATGGTATTGTGCTTTTAATGCAGTATTGAATTTGTTTAAACATAGCCCGGCATCGTTCTGAATCTGAAATTTTGGATAGCCCTGCTAAGTGCTAACGCGTTCTTTGGTCTTTATCCTACAGTCACCAGCTTTTATGCAGCTGAGAAAGCTTTCGTGAACAGGCCAGTAACGATTATCCGAGCACGAAAGGATGGGAGGATTGATCGGCTCACGTCGCTATCTGAGCGTCTAGTGGTTGATAGTTATGAAAATTCGATACATTGTATGCGTCCTTATTGCTAAAGATTTTTTTGATCTTATAAATTCCTCTTCTATACATGAGTTAGTGTAATTATTTAACCACAGTGATGGTGGGATTTTTGCAAAATCTAGACCCCAGATCAGATTCGAACCTGCGATTACCTTTTGCGATGGCTCATGTGTTATCTGTTGCGTCGCTGAGGCCCCCATTCTTTGCTCTCAGTCAGTTTTTTACCGTAACGAGGCAAAAACTCTATTTACCCTGTTAATTTTTTATTTAGGGCCTTGTATTTTTTTTAGGGTAGGGTATGATGTGAAATCCAACCAATATGACGCTAGGGCATTTGCAAAATTTGAAGCCCTGGGCCAAATCGAACTGTGATTACTCTTTCCAGAGGTTAACGTGTTACATATACACGTCATGCGAACATGTATGCGGACATCATACCATGCTGTGAAGATTAATAACAGGTAGTAAATAAAAGGTTGACATTGTACATTGTGATTTCCATTACAATAAAACCTCAGCTTAATTGGATTTGGTACCGATTTGTGCTCCGCGGATCATTCCCGTTGGTGGGTGGTTGCTAATGGCAGGGTTGGTTGAGGAACGGGTGGGTGGGACGAGGGCTTCGATGGTGCAGTGCGTGGCATGTGGCCAGAAGGAAGATGTAGAAGTGGTCCAGTCCGGTCTGTGATCCAAGTTTTGCAAATATTCCAGCGCCGAAGTGGTTTTATTTACACTATTTGTACCTCGTTTGCATTAACTTTATGAGTGGAAGAATTGGGCATCAGCAACGATAGCCAAGAATGTCAACGCTATATTTGGTGCACACTCGCTGAACGAATGAAGCACGAGAATTTGGAGAAATGTAAATTTCATATCTACCAAATTTATATGATTTATATGATTTATATGATATATGATTTATATGATTTTATATGAGTTGACTGTCGGATGACATCAATTGAACAGTTGCAAATTCAAAAGTTCATTTGCAATAGGGATGCATCTGGAAGGAAGAGATAAAAAGCTGCGAAACAAATATATGCAAGATGAACAGCATTTAATTCCTTTTGCAACTGGTAAAAGGTTATTTTCAAAATTTTTTTGCTTACTAAGTTAATGCTTTGATGCAGTCTTCATCCAGAAGATCAAGTTGTGTAGTTTGCAGTATTCCTTTTATTGGAATCATAAATATTAAGAGTATCTCTTCATTCCCCTAGGAACGCTCCTCAAATTAATGCCAATGAAGTGCTTATCCCACCCAGAGAAATCTCAAAGCAATCAAAGAAGGCTGTGACTTGACTTGAAGTGAATTCGAATGTGCTATTGTGCTTGGATGAGTCGAGTTTTCGTGCATTACAATAGATCCTCTATTGACTTTGTACAGTTGCATTTGACGTAGAAGCTTTTGGTGTGTATATACATGTAGTTGACGATACGATTGAAGTGTGAAGTAGATTATTAAGGGCTACAGATAATGTTATGACCTGGTAAGAAGAAATGATGACTGCTGAAATTCCTTCAGTCTAAATTGCAGAAAAGCTAATGTCGCAGATTGAATTCATGTTTCGGGCTAGCAAAGTATCCGGTTACACGGAATACGGTTAATATTATTCAACTGTTCCAGTATTTCCAATCGATAACGTTCGCAAATCTGGTTGAGAATTAGTTTATTGTTGCAAAGATTTTATTTCCTCAAAGGTTAGAACTAATTTTCTCGCGTAGTTGATATTTAAGTGTTGTTCTTGTTGAAGTCTGTAGATGATCACCGGCTATTTTTGCCCACATCGAAAAGATTTGGTAACTTTACAGACGCTTTTTTAAATTATACCATGTTGTTTATATTATATTATGTTTATTATTTACTGTTTATTATTTATTGTTTGTACATGACCCGAGGCCACATTTATAGCGCTGCAAGGATCTAAGCACTCGCGTTCGATTCGCTTCCGCGCTTCCACCATTCAGAAAGTCTTCGGACTTTCTGCGTGTGTTTTCGGCTGCTGGCTTGAAGATTTCTTCGTCTTCTTTACGGATGTCGTTGAATACTGGTCAAGTCAGTTCTAACTATAGTTCTGATATAGCCGACCAATAGTGCTCCACACGAATTAAAGGGACTGATCTTCTTCTAGACAAGTCTGTTACGAATTTCTCGCCTCCGAAGGTATGAGATGTTTGGTGGATCCTGAGAATGGTGGAACTATTGCCTGGATTGGGAGTGCCATCTCGTAATGAACGGGATCAATAACACTGCTCTACCCGTTCCCTATATCGCTGTCGAAATATTTTTAATCATTCGAAGATTTATCATGTGGTAAAAGTCTACAATAAGGTGTACCTTTACTTTATGGTCAAACGTCGTTCATTTAATGTTAGTTTTCGTAAATTGAAAGCTTGAACATCAAAAGGTTATCTTGAGATTTCTCATATCCAAACTTCGTATTTGTAGTGCATATACAAATATACTTTAACTATCCAAATGACTTTGTTGTTTTTCTAATTATGAAAATATTGTTCTTCAATGAATTCTGAAATCAAATACTTTATTTTTCAGATATTAACACTTCTTCGAATTGATTCATTCTTCTGTAACTGTCGTCCATACAGGTGGTGCCGCTCTATGTGGGTACGCGGCTGCATCTTGAGGAGTTGTGGTCTTCATTCCTCAACGCCGTATTGAATGATTCGTGAAACCACAAGATAACTATCTCCAACAAAGGTATTCGTTTGCTTTTCAGTGTCCGAAGTAGATGTGCGCCTTGTATTCTTCATGAGCGCTAGTAGTTTCTAATGCGTCAGTGATTTCGGCGATTTGTCTGTCACCTTCTCGAAGAGGGAGAAGCAGTCGAGCTCCAAACAACGCTTTATATTCTATTAATCCATGAATGTCCATAGCGCATGATAGATGTCCAATAGGTTTTTAGCTGCTTATACTCAAGTCTGCTTGATCCAAATGATGGTTGCCTTGTTTTGCTACTTCGGATAGACTTCTTTCCCACATACACGCGATACCCATTTATACATGTGTGGGAATACTTTCGAGCATAAAAATTGTATCTTGTATGTCGCTTTCATTAAAAGGTTGCAATCAGAGAAGTGCATGGAAAGCTGTTAAGGGTTGCCACTAACAAGTAAGCTCACTTATAACTAGTTATACTACATTATAGCTAGACAAGCTATGCATGTTATACTCATCTCCCATAGAATGGTCTAGTAAGCTATTTGTACCCTTTTCAAAAGGCATTGAAGAAAAGGGTTTTCCTATAAGAATTAGGAGCTATTCATCTCCATAGAATAAGTAGATCCATCTGAATAGCTGTAGGGTACTGATAACCCTTAGAATTTTAGTAATAGACGACTAATGGTGCTATATATGATCGTAATAGTGTCGCAATCAAATAGGGAATTCTTTTAGGACTTTTGGCTTTTCGTTTCTCAATATGTGTTCGCTCTTCATACTGATTTCGTCTCTAATTGTTCGATCCACCTGTCTTCTCTGCCAGCAATGTGGTGGGGAGCTCTATAGTGGTGGGCTACGGTAGGCACATTTTGGGGCGTTTAAGGATTGAAATTTTTCACAACAATGTTAATGTATTTAAAGTGTATGATCGGCTTTCTTAGCGGTAAAGGTGATTTTAGACTTAAGATAGACAGAAGATTAAAAGTGAGGATTTAAGTGTTACAGCTTTGAAATTTATAAATGGTCTGTGTGAAAGGGAGTTTATAAAGTAGCTTGATACTTGTGTATCAATTAAGTATTTGAAATTTGACCTTGGTAATTCTTTTGAAGTAATAGGGATGACATTTTCTAGATCATTTTACTTTTTAAAGAAATTTTTGAGAGTTAATTTTGCTTTTCATAGCTTTTACGATTTCCGACCCGTAATAAACTCGTTGTGAGAGTTTGAACCTTCTTCTGCAATTCTCTATTCTTTATATTCTTCTAGTGCTTTAAATTTTACTTTTTATCGTCTAAGGTTACTGCGCTCAATGTGTTGTACTGCAACCGCCATTGAATGCCCAGTGGGCTTCGTCTGCATACGAGCGCTTGTCGTTTCATCCAAAAAGAATTTCATTCTATCCGGATGTTATTTTCCAGAAGACGGACTGATTGGTCAGTTTTGGTATTTCTCATTTGTTTTCCGTTACAATGATCCCTCTTTGCCATTGTTATTGTTACTTTCTCCTTTTAAACAGCTCTGTTGTATAACTAATTCGATAGGGTAGTGATGCCTATCATCACGAGGGCGATTATGGTTGAATCCGCTTTGGGCTCACCAAGCTTCTCTTATCTACGTAGTCTGAAAATTTGTACCGGACTTGTCAGAAAAAATGCACTTTCCGCAATCCAAGCTGGAACGGTCTAGCCCGACTATCTCAAGACTCCAAGGAAAATCGACACGACTAGCATTCAACGACATTAATGACGAAAGAAAATTCTCAAGCGGCAGCCGAAACCAATGTGTAAAAGTTGGAAGACCTTCATGGATGATGGATGCGATGGAACCAATCGAATGCAATGCAATCCAACCGCACAGTAGATGAGAGAGGCGGATCGTATTTTAAAAAAAACTATTTAGATATGTCTTTAAGAGGGGGAAATAGTGTAAATGGTATAAAATATCTACTAATTTAACCCTTTGTTTTTTTTGATCAAGACTTCTATGAATGTACTCGTATTTTGTGTCACAATTATTTTACTACAGCTATACAGTTGCATGTGTTTAGGTTGTGATTCACACACACTTCCTCATAATGGTACCATCCAGCGTTGCGTATGTGTGAATCAATCTTGTCAATCATATTTTCCAAATGGGACCTGCACACAAGGTTTAGACACTCTAACAAGTTTCAACAGTTATAATCGAAAGGTGGTCTCTCTCAATTTTACCAGCCAGCCAACAACACGGACTACTCATACACTCATTTCATCAGCTACAGCAAATCGAATCGGAGAATTTCATTACGCTGGGCTTCCGAACAAGCTTCCTGCTTCGTCAGTTTGGCGACGACACTTTCTGCTTCATATTGCTTTAATATTTAGTATAGTTGTTTTTTCATAATAAGTTAGTGACAAAACTGCTATAATCCTCACCATGTTTATATTTTCCGTATTACTGTCAAATTTGCTCTCATTTAAACTTTCCATTGCAGGTATTGTTTTTATCGATTTGCTAGTTATAGATTTTTACACAGTATATTCTTTTCTAGGCCTTCATTTTGTCATATATTAGCGTGTATTGTTTCTTTATTTTCATCTTACTGTAGCTAAACCTTTCTTTGGACCGACTTTCCTTTAACTTCGATGTTAACTAGAAGTTTACTATCTTCTTGACCAGTTGACAAAAGCTTATTAGTATAGTATTTATTTCCACTAATATTAGCGTTTCGGTGGATTCCTCCTGCAGATCCATTGGAGAGTTATGTTAACATTCAACGTATTCGAGTCAATGTTTTCATATTTTCAGTAGAACCATAACCTAGCTTTCTACCATGTGGAGAACTCTGAAAACATTAACTGTTTTTTGTATCGCTCACTCATTTTGTGAATCTACCAGCACGCATTCAACATTGGATGGGGATTATGTTTGTCTGAAGTCAAGAATTGACCTGGAATATGGAGGCAAAAACGCGTATAACTACGAGTCATTGGACTCCATCACACTCCGACTTTGGAGTTTTTGGAGTTGGCTCACGATAAATAAAAGAGGTTTTCGTGGTGATGTCATTGATTCTTTTGCTGGAATTGAAAGTGAGGTCTCAAAACTTCCACTTTTACACTTTTTTGTCCCATAAGTACCTAGTTGGATACTTTGTCTAAGTTGATGTTTTCTATCTAGATGTTCTTTTATCCGGGTACGTGTGGTCTGCTTGTAGAAGACAAGGCATACAGTAGGAAATAAGATATCTGCAACATCAGTCTGCATTGTTACACCAAGTAGTGCTATATTTTGTTGTACAGAGTTGGTTGTAGAAGCGCTTATGAACTAATCGACGTACTAGATTTTGATGATACTTTAACAACTGTTATCAACTTCTCCCTGTTTCCAAGCATCGCAATACTTACACTGTTAAGGTTGAACTGCAAGTTCAACCCGATCCTATCTGCGATAGAATATTCGTTTCCGAAGGTGATTTTTAATTCAAATTCAATCTGAGTTCCTACAGTGTTTCACGTTGGAGATATCTGCTCACGGTCTTGGAACGCAGTTAAGCCCTTCCGCCGAATTCCGACAAACTAAGCATTGACATGCTGATGTAATGCTTTTGTATACAGACTTCCATTTAAACTCGATATGATATACTAATCAATGTACTTCGCTCGTGAGCTAACACTGGAGTGATAAAGACTTTATTCGGTTGAACCACACCACAGGAATGAAAGAATAAACTCGAATCATTCTATATCAGAAGAAGGCGAAGGCGCCGAGACGTGAGTGGAATAGAGTCGTTATCATCCTCGGGTTAGCTTTTCAGTGAAGAAGTATATTAACTGTTAAGCATTGACGTTAACTGACAGCTCTTCTAAAGGGCTGGTCCAGAGAAGTCGATGGCAGTTGCTGAACTAAACTACCACCTCCAGACATCCTCGGCCGTAATCGCACAACTTCCCCTGTTCCTAATAACACCAGTGGACAATACAGAAGATGAATACATTATACTTTAACTCTTGTAGAACGCACCAAATATGTTGCAAGTTAACATGACTCCTTTGTGACCCGGAAAAGAGCTCAAACTTCCGAAAAGGCGTTAGTTAGGCGTGAAGCAATAAATGTTGGATCGACTCTATCGGAATGTTAGATTGCTCGAGTTTGTGACATATGTCACTTCCTCATTTTCACGGATATTTCCACAATTTTTAATTTAGCAAACATTTACTAACGAATATAATTTATTCGACAATTTACAACTGAACATTCTCTTTGAGCAATCATTTCAACACACGGAAGTATATAAGCACAGGCACAACATATTGCTGCATAATTGAAAACTGTTTAGTAAATTTAAAAATGTGAATACATGAAGGATTTGTTGAAAACAAATGGATACTGATGGTCCTAGAAAGAGGACAAAAGACATTGAATAAACACTGAGATTACTTCACCTGGTTACATACTCATCGATTGCCGGAATATATGTGGATATGAAGTAGAGACGGCGATAATGATGTACAATACACTAAAAAAGGGACATTCTATCTCGTATCACACGTAAGGAGCATAACAATAACAATGTTAACTATATAACAGAATGAGCTAGTAGGTAGTGGTGATGATGATAATAGTGAGGAGTATGAGTTACGACGTTCACAAGCTTTCGTACTACATCGCGGTGCTAATCGAAACCGGCGCATTGGCAATCAATGGGTATTCTTCACCAATGGATTGAGCAAAGTATGTACGATAGTCTTTGCAGCAAAAACATTAGTTTGAGTCAATATCAATGCTCTTGATCGCTATCGTATACCACCGAAACCACCAAATTTTCCATAGCACGACCAAGGTCGTCAACAGTTGCTAATAGAGATTGCATGCGGGTAGTTCGATTCTCGGATTCCACAGCTCCATCATTTTTCCAATTAGTTCGTTCAGATAAACGTGAACGAGATGATGAGTCGTAGAGGGCACGTTGCTCATCATTAGGTGTGGCGAACAGTTGTGGATTCGGACGTCGTTCAGCAGCTAGATCGGGCTCGGCGCTCCACTGTGTCCGTGGGCCGTTTTCCTTTTGCTGGAATTTAATATTATAAATTAAGATTGCGAGAATAAATTCTATAGAAAACAAAGACCAGAAAATATATGAGGCATTAAGTACTATGTGAATTATAATCACAATAATGCTGAGATATCTGCAAAGCTCCGGATGGCTGCTGTCAACAATCATCCGTCAACGAGAATGATCTAGGGAGTACAAATCGACATTGAATCCAGATAAGCTGAAGTTTTAGTACAATTCACTACGCAATCACTTTTCATTTACAACCTATTTTTTTCATGGCAGTGTATGATATGAATTATAACCAACATGATACCGAGATATTAGCAAAACTCCGGACGGCAAGTGTTTACGGTGGAGATCGAAGAAAGGCCATCACCCTTACAGGGGGTTAACGTGCTCACCACCACACCATGACGGCCCTTCTTTTTGCCTTTCTCTCAGACGTGTTTTATAGGTGCTACAAGAAATCATGCGTCAACGTGAGTGATATGAGGAGCATAAATCAGTATTGAATCCGGATAAGCTGAAGCTAGTTGTTCGCGTGTTCGATCCCCACTCTAGACACCTGTGGCTTGGAGTTTTGCAAATATTTCAGAATCACTGTGGTTACAATTCATATCATACCCTTCCATGAAAAATGATAAGCACTAAATAAGAAGTGATTACCAAATACGATGTCCTGGAAAGTTGGGTCTGCTTCTTCCGCCTCAGTTCTTTCTCCAATACAAGTATTTCTTATGCAAGGTTGACAGGCATGAAAACTTGGTCCAAGCACAGATATAGTCTTCCTAGCTATGAAACATTTCTTACTGTCATCAATTTCTTCGATTTTGCGATTTCTGTTGTCAGTATTCTTCCAGAGACGAATAATTATAAGCTTTTTTGGTTGATAAGTATGAAAACTTTGCATATGAATGAATAATGGTCCGTCTGTCAACGGAATTTCGGTTAAAAATAATGGCGGTTTTTATAGCAGCAAAAGTTGTTAAGCCACTGCGGTCCCATTTAACCAACCCAACAAGTAAATAAAGACACAAAAACACATTACACATTTTTCGTATTCATGACCTTGTATTTCATGCATTTCGAAACAAATTTATTGTCTAACGCCTGCTCACCTGCTCAATGACTTTCTTCAGCCGTCGTAATTGTAGTTCAAGTTGTTCATTTTGTTGTTCCAATATTCGCGACCGATGCTCTAGTCGTTGCTTGTGGAGACGCAATGCTCTGGCTTCATCCATCACCTGAACGTTTACAATAAATTTAACTGAGAGCTGTTTTTCTCCGTCTTATTACTTCTTTGAAGAACTACGGAGGACAATTCATCCGGTGTTAATCAATCCCTCCAAAGTTCCCTATGCATTGAATATAGCCTATATAAAGGCTTGTGGTAGCTAATGATGTATTAAGTCAGTGTGTAAATCCTCCCAGACAACATCCTAACCTTTATTTACAGTCTCTTTTCTCATGGCATAGTATGCTGAAATATGACCAAAACTCGGAACCTCAGAAGGGCTTCGAATTCGCAATTACCCTCACAGCGTGCTGCTGAGGTTCCAAGTTTTGCTCATATCTCTGCAACCTTGTGGTTGTATTCCACATTGTTCCTCCTATACAAGTCTGGTAACAAATTGATGATTACGGAAGAGTAGGGTTTCCTTGGTCCGGGACTGCCGTGGGATCAAACCAAAGACGGTATATGTATTGTAAGGCACTTTTAACTACAAGTTCAGTTATCCTAATGTGTCATTTACACAGATAAAAAACGTCATGAAAAAGTAACTAAGGATGATTTTCGATATTTTCGCATTTATGTTGCAAAACACCGCCATGTAAGGCACAAAACCCTTAACAAATACGATAGACACCAAGTGATTTGTAGTGGAGTAGCATTTAGGTGGATAGCCAGGAATTTTTCCTCGGATTCCCATGATAGCAATGCCAGGGTGTTCCCAAGTTCCAGAAATTCTTAGGAGATTGTCACATGTATCAGAAAAGGGCGTTTATCGCCTCGTTAATTGCTTCTTTTGAGCATGACTGCAATTATCAGCACAGAATTACTTCTAGGCGAATGCTCCATGGATGGATGCGTCAAACTTGTTTTCGGATCCAGTAATCTTTCGATAGACTCCTCCTGTACAATGCCGTCATTCAGTTCGATCCCAGAGAGCTTCTCGTTCGCTATGGCGTGATAAGATGATAAATCATAGAAAAGTGCAGCGTTAGTTAAACATTCAGATGAATGAATAGTAAGTAAACAAGAAAGCAACAACAGAAACCACTTTTAAGGTCTTTTGCCAAGCAACAACTTCAACAGTTATCAAAAATCAATTAAAAAAACCAGTACAACTGAGACAAACACCTCACATCGTTCTGACTGTGGGCATTTTGTAGAGAAGGCACACTTCGGCCGTGGTTCTCCTGGCCAGCCGGCCGTGGCAGTGTGGCGCCTCGACCGACACTTCGACGACTGCTTAACAATGTTCTGCAAGAAGTCGATTAAGATTACAGAACACTTCATGAGAACTAAAAATTGTTACTATACCAACTTTACCGTTTATTTTACTAGTTCACTAAAGTTTACTGAAATGCAAAAAATCACTTTAATATTTACAATCCAACCTTTAGAATACTTAAAAAACGTCTAAAAGAAACCCCCACAGATCTAAAAAAGCACATATTTGCAAAACCCCGAACTGCAGATGTCCGCGGTGGAGAGCGAACGCGCTATTACCCTTTCAGGGTGCTAACGCGTTCACCACCACACCATGCGGTTCCTCCGTTTCGCCTGTCTTTCAGCTAGTTCTGTCGACCAGCGCCATAAGCAATCACCCGTCGACGGGATTGATCTAGAGAGCTCAAATCGGAAACGAACCCAGTTAAGCCGAGGCTGTAATCGAATTGGGAGACATGCGAAAAGAATGGTGTGGTGGTGAACGCGTTAGCAACCGGGAAGGGTAATAGCGCGTTCGTTCCGCACCACAGACACCTGCGATCGAGAGTTTTCCAAATATCTCAGCATCATTGTGGTTGTTTCACACGTAATACACTGCCACAAAATATTATAATACGCAGTAAATAAGAAGTTAGCAAATTACATATTATTAGACGTTTCCTTTTATAACGCTTTTTTTTGTTCATATTATAGACAGCAAGGGCGCGTGTGATGCAGTGGTTGGAGGCGCCACTGCGACATATACGTAGAAATGATCCCTGCGCCTATAGCTCACCAAGAGTTCCATCCCTACGGGGTCGGCAAATTGGTACCAGACTTGTCTGGAAGGATAGCAACAATGACTCGATACATCGGTAGGCCACCGCGAGTTATTGTAAAGGCCAGATGTGTATTCAATCACCTCCAATGATACTTAATGAAGTCGAATGCATGGCGCATCTCTCAGGGATTAATCAACGCCAAGAGCTTTATCCTTTATCGTTTTTTATATTATAGAAATCACGAATTTATAGAAAGACCAACAGAAGTGATATATTAAGAAACCAAGTGATTTTAAGGAAAATTTCTGGGTTAAAACCAAGTACTGAGTTCTGGATACTGAATAGTGTAAATTCTACGAAACGAAAAAAAAAAAGAATTTAAGTCGAAAATCAAACGTGAAACAACGAAAAATAGAAATGGTGGCGTCTTGGAGAGGATTGACTGGACCTTTCACAGTCGCTATAAATTTCAATAGTGTGTATATTGAAAAATCACGAAAAATATCTCAAAGCTTTTATCAAAGATTCTGAGATGAAGAAAAGACGAGGAGACTTAAGGCAAAACATACTGTCCTCTTTAAAAACATTTCTCTTTAACGTTGTTCTATTTCTTAACCTTAATTTTTTACACAGAAGAAGTTTTACTACATCGCCAAAATAATGGAACAGTGGTGACAGTTAGAGCCGAAAACGATTGAAACGTTTTTTGACGATTGCTGATAATTATTCGATAACTTTTGCACTTGAGTTATCCGAAAGTAAGAACCTGATAAACTTGTAGAAGAGATTTTGCTCTATCCAAATAGTAATAAAGATGACCAATCGAAATTGCATCTTCAAAAACTTGAGCTTTACGTTATGTTTGCGCAATAGAACTTCATCTGGACAGAATAAGGCTTGCCTTATTGGCAAAGGTTTGTGCACGCCACTGGATTTCGCTGGGTGCGTAGGTAGCACAATGATGAAGACCTTGGAACCACACTGGATCAATCAAGCGTCTATCCCTCTGGGGTCGGAAGATTTGTAGCAGACTTGCTTGGGATCAGTGAGACCCTTCAATCCACAAAAGATGATGACTGAGCTTAATGAAGGTCTGAGGACACCTCAGTATTACAACCTTATGATTCCAGACTGAATCGACTTCACCACCATTCGATGTCATAAAATCGTTAGATCGCTGCCGAACCCACACTCAAATCCGAAGATTTTCGTGGAGAATTAAACAAACCAAATGTTAGTGCTGAAATCGGCACAACATGTTATTTCGAGTCACGTAAGAAAGTCAATACTATTTCAATTAATAAAGTACGTCCCAAATTGAGATACACTTGGATACTTGAATAGCTCGACGTCACTAGTTGTGCGCACCCCAGCAAAATATCCATTTTTCAGAGTTTCGTTGGTTTACCCATAATGGTTTCCTGGAGTGCCGAGATCAGTTTAGCCAAGGTCTGCCCCAGTTCTTCACCACCATTGGTAGTCGCAACTTTTGTGAATCAGAGAGAGATTTGCCACCATGCAACTAGTTTGACACCAGGACGGTGGTGACTCCTGGTATTGGTTTACTCTTAGCTGGTCTTTCTGATGGAAACACCGGACTCCTTCTCAGCTTGGAAGACTTTGCCAGAGGGATGAATCCTCCCGCTGTACATCGCAGCCCGACACCCAGGAACACATCCCAGCAACGCTGAAGCGATAAACCGTTGGGAGGAATCAAGATTTGGCCGTTTAAATTTCGAAACGGCCAGTAAGTGTTTACAATTTCTGATTAGTTTTAAAAATAATATCGTACAGGGAAGACGAACAGACACTGCATAGCGATCAGCGTCCAATAAGTCAAGAACTAAGACTGCAACGAGCTAACAGATCTCCAGATATTCACGTTCATTCGATCTCAATAGTACTCTCATCTCTACAACCATAAAAGTACTGTCGACGACCTGGCACTTAGCTCAGACACCACACATCTCAACCATGTTGATGACTTTCCACACTAAACACAAAGTGTTTGTCTTATCCCTCTGAAACCGAATCAACACATAAAATGTTAACCCGAACTTCGTCGTTGAGAGCAGCAACTACTGTCTTTCTAATGTTTTTCAGTGGACCTAGCACAATATACATCCAAAACTAAGCTATGAAACAGATATGAGGCAACTTGAGGCTGGAGAAAATAATGATAAGGTAGTCCAAATAGAGCTAGGCATAGGTTCGGATGCAGATGTCACCATGCCAAAAGAACATCATCTAAATGGACGACGATTATCAGAAAGCAAAATAAATTGAAATTGTGCTGGTTTACAGTAGAATCTGTGGAAAAGGATTTTTTAAATGACCCATTTTTGATATCTACTGCGCGTGTCTCAGCACTTCTTGCTTTCGGTTCGTTTCTTCGCATCTATCATTCGCGAGCCTTCGAGCTTCTTGCGCGTGGATTCCGCTTAGCTGTTGCTTGAGAATTGTCGTTTCCTTTACGAACGCCGCAAGAGGCGCGTGTAGGGCAGCGGTTAGAGGTTCCCTGCGATACATACGTGTTCATTGGTTCGATCCTGTGCCCTGGGTTCACCAGCCCTTCCATACTTCCGGGTTCGGCATATTGGTACCGGACTTGGTTGGGAGGATAGCAGCACTAATTTGACATATCGATAGAGATAGACAGATAGTTATCGAGACCGTGAGTCACTGTATAGGCCACGTTAGGCACTCAATCACCTCTAACGATGTTTGATGAAGTCGAATGCGTGGCACATCCCTCAGAGAATGATCAACGCCAAACGTTTTATCCTCTATGGTTTATGAATGTCGTTGAATGCTGGTCGACTTTACGATTCTTGCCGCAGTCCTAGTATTGATGGGTTGGAGCTTTCCCAATTGAAATTCAGGGAGTAGGCTGCTCCCAGACGTGTATGGTACCAATTTCCGCACACCAGGAGATGGCGGGACTAATGAGCCAACGTAGAGTCGAACCAGAATCGTATTAATGACGAGACGTACCGTTACCACTGCACCATTAACCCCTGAAGACGGACTATCCAACCATTTCAGGAGTTTTACGGCACTTTTATAATTGCTCACTCAATATCTCTCTTAAAGCACTTTAATGCGTCACAAAAACCTTTACAAAGAAATCATTAGATTAAATGAACAAAAAAAGATAGACGAATAATCTAACTCTATAGAAAGTTTACAAGAAAAAATAGGTAAAAAAGAGACAGCAGCGTCCAAAATTATTTGTAAAAAGTGCAGAAAAAAGAGAACGCTTCAAAAACACTACTTCCTATGCGGAACTAACTTGTCTAAATCGGGTGTACTGGAGACTGCTAGCTTTCGACGTTCCAGCTCTCGCTTTAATTCCAAATTTTCCAGTTGAAGACGTTGTAAAACCTGATCCAGTTCATCTTTTTGCATTTGTTCCACCTAGAAAATAATCATCGAAAATTCGATTTTTTCCTCATATGTTTTTCTTCTCCCCAGTTCAATATGATCATTCTTCACTCCAAACGCACTTAACTCTGTGTTCTCTCTAATTTTTTTTTATCAACCTAATAATTTTTTGAAAAAAGATTTTTGGACACAAAATTTACTACTGAAATGAATCTTGCTAGCATCACGAATTCATTATAAAACAAGCGCTATATTTCGTTCATTTTTATCTATATTTCGAATACTAGAAGAATAAAGAACAGAACGTTTGCTACGAAAGGGTGCATGATGCATTCGACTCCATTCGTAGCATCATGGAGATGAATGAATGCATATTTCGCCTACACAATGACTTACGATGGTCGCCAATTAGCGTTTTTACATTTCAAGATAAGCCTGGTACTAGTTTTCTAACCGCGGATGGCGCAGGGTTTGAGCCACCGGGACGCAGTTTCAAACCAAAGACTATGTGTTTATGACAAGGCACGTCTAACCAGTGCATTACACATACTTACGCCTTGAATACACTAATAACAAACCAACAAAAGAAAAAGAAACGACCTAATAGTGCGATGAATGGTCAATTACATAGTTGCTGGTTCGAAACTCAACTTCAATATAAACGAATCTTACCTCCTGGATCCTACAATTAATAGTGGATTGGAGGGTGATGGGAAATTCCTCAAAAAATTTTAAAAATTTGCTTATTCATTAACTGATTGCTCCCAAGTCGTGCTAGAAACCAATCTAATCTAATCCATTGCCTTAGTGAATCTTTAAAGAAAACCCAGCCATCTTAAGATTTTCTCACTTTTGGTTACTCTTTTTTCCCTACCTCCCTTCGAAAAAAGTCTTCCAGGATACCAAAACGATTTCATTTTTCAGATTTACTTAGAAGTAATTCAAACATGTGTTCAGGCTTCCTCTGAATTAAACTGCTAATAGCATATGTCCATTCGCTCACTGATTATAATTCCTCACATTATAAATATGCTATTTTGCTTTTTGTAACGTTTGGTTCCCAATTTTGTGGGTTTACTATTTGTCCCCTTAAAAAACACAATTTGTTGAAAACAAGAAAACTGACATGAATTGATTTGTTTTGAAGTATAAATGTGCGAGAGGATAAAAAACACCTTCTATACGAATAATGGGTAAAATATAGATGTAGAATTAAGCACAAATAAAAAAAATACTTTGTATTTTTCCCACGCTTTATTGGCCCTTGTTTTAGTTTCTGAAAATGTTACGATCTCTTATGCTTTCTCTTGCTATAAGTCACAATCGGACTATCGATCCTAGAACTCAGTCGTTTCCGACTCATTCTAAATATTTCTTGTATTTCCGTAATTACAATATCCCTTGCATCAACATGTTGACAAGTATATTTATCTATTATTTATCTATTTATACCTAAGTTTATTCGAGCTCAATTTTAGGTTAATATTTGCTGGTTTATTTATAACGAACGACTTGTCCCACCTGTTTCTTCCTTGACCGTGGCACTAGCCGAAAAATATTACACATTGCCATTTCAGCAAGGTATTTCGATAGCTAAGAGAGATGTTTTGAAGAGTTTGATGATCACGGAGATGCAGTGATCTTGCCCAATCCTCACATGGGAGTGGGACGTTGGGTTTCTAAGTAGTTCATTGCTAATGGAGGAATGCGAGGAGGACCAGTTTCTGAACAGTTCGATACTAATGGGAATAGAAGATGGAGTCGGTGAACTGTTAGATGGTTATGTGGTGTGAGTGGTAAGGAAGCGAGTTTCTGAACTGTTCGATGCTAATGGGGAAATTAGACGGTGAATCGACGACGATCGAACGGGCAGACGCAAGATGACTGAGGGGCACGGGCTGGCTGTTCGCTCGTCTGTCCGTCATTTCAACTTCGTGTGCGACAATGTGGAGGTCGGTCGCGGATGGTGGTGCCTCCCTCGCTGGCCCACCCGCCAGCTTTCGTACAGTCGGTGGTCTCCTCAAGGACGTCACACTACATTCCACCTTTAATCAGCCTCTCATTTTGTCATTCAGATTATTTATAATCCGAGTGTGAATCATATTGATTCGCTGGACAATTTCGAAAGAAGAAAACGCGGAAAAGTTGTAGAAAACATGGAGAAAACAGCAAGGTGTTTTTTGAATAAACAGAAAAGATATTTAATCCGAAACCGTGCAATTGGTTCCCGTTTGACTTCATAAACAGTTTCCTACATAAAATAACTTATTTTTCATGAAATTATAAAAACATTAATATGGGTTCCACATGCGAATTTTTGATTATGTAACCATACCCTTCACTTTTTCCTTTACTGTAAATATGTTAGCTAGAAAAGTTGATTTGGCATTTGTTTTTTTCGGAACAATTGAACAATGTGACTTTGTTTTGAAAAAAAAATCAGCGATTACCTCTGTTACTTCTCATTTATAACGAACATTATGTATTTGACCGTCAAAATAGCTTTTCTTTCAAACCTTTTCAATGTTCTTTCTCTTACAAGGTAATACTAGCAAATATGATGAGTACAATGAAAGAAAAAACTGAGACAATGAAATCTAAAGCAGAACAGTGAGAGAAATTTTACTTTAGAAAACTGTTCAAAGATATAGGACAAAACTGTCCAAATACAGAAAGATAGATATTTCCAGCTTTGTCGTAGGACCTAATCTAAGCCTGTGAATCTGCAAAACGGCACCTGATTGATGATTTGTGCCGGACTCTGAATGTCGGCCACTCGTTCGTCTCGTGGTTCAGCTGGCAACGAGGCGGTCAACAGTGCCAGACGATTCGCCAAGGTGGCCGAACGCTGATGAAGGGCCTCGGTGGCTGCATTCTGGGCCGCCGGAGGTAGTGCTGCCAACGGGCGACCTTCGTCAGTGACCTGAACACTGATCAAGATGACAGTCACTAATAAAAAAAACGTAAATATGAAACACGCAAAAGGATTCCGAGGTAATTAATCCCTCAAGCAAACGCCATGCATTCGACTTCATTCGTAGTACCACGAAGCTGTTTGAAGGCACATTTGACCTATGTCAGTTGTGGCCAACCAATGAATCATGTCAGTGTTCCTACCTTTCTAGACAAGTCTCGTATTAATTTCCATATCTCATAGAGACGGAAGGCTTGGTTAGTCTGAGGCGCTGGATTAAGCAAACAACCAGCGCATATCAAGGCAGCTGCTGCTCTACACGCGTGAATATAAGACATACAAGCATAAAAATATGCAAGTGCTATAGTTATAGTCTAAATAAAAACAACTCAAACCACATATTACACTATTGTAGTTGCAAAATTCTGTCTAAAACGAATCATAAATCAGATTAAAAACGATAGCCAAAAGAATTCCCAATCACTTGAAGTTATTCTATTTGTAATATTTCAACAATTTCAGAAAATTTAACCAATCCCCATTGCTATTAACATGAGTTTTATTAGCTCGTAGTTCGCTTTCTATTCACTTTTCAGATTTCTCATACTAAATGAATATCAATACCCTCGAACTCTTCACCACAGTAATCCATAGATGTTTCAAAACCAGCAACCTACTCAGAGAGAAACTCACATCAACTGGAAGATATCCAAGACTGTTTTTACTTCTGGAGAATTTATTTCGCACCATACGAGCAAAATCACGAGCATCTTCAGTTGATGTTGTCTATAAAGACATTAAAGATGATTTCAGAAGGAAAAATCCGTGAAAGAAAGTTACAAAATGTGATGTTTCCCATTTTGGATTTAAAAATGTCACTTTCATCACAAAAAATAGTTAAACTAAAAAATTTTTTTTGCGAAAATTAGGTGTTAAATTGAAGTTCAGGAAGTGCTCCAGCAAAAATAAATCACGAAAAAAACTACTGGAACTGCGTATTCCTGCATCGGGTGTTTGAGTTTGTGCTTCTTGGCAGTACGTTGGCTGAAGAAACAGTTCTGGCAGAGGTCCAGATTGAAACATCGCAGACATCGATACCGTAATCCGACGATGGGAAACATCTTGCACACGTTACATTTAGCCTGATGCTTAGCGAATTCAGCAGTAGCCAGACGGTGCATCACCGGTAACCAGACGACACTCTGCGGTTCCTGTTTCATCCATTCCAGGAACGGAGTCAGTGAGATCGTCGGTGCCAGACGGACCATCTCGAAACAGGAACGCACTGACGGCTCGACGTTCGAACCACCGAACGCTGCTGCTTCGCCGACAAGCCGCGGAATCTGAATGTGAACAATGTAAGAAATAGTCGAAGATTCATTGAAATTCCAAACTACACGTTTTATTTTTAAGTTTTATGATATTTAGGTGCTTTGTGATCGACTTCATATCGATCTGCTCCAGACTGTTCAACATCGAAGGGAAAAGAAATTAAGGTTTTTTGGAAATGAGACGTTTGCGTAGATTCAACTATGCATTTATCTAATTAAAAAAGATTTCTATTCAAAAAGCTCTTGAAAAATTCTATCAACCTAGATAGAAATTAAAGAAAAGAAATATAAGATATACCTGGATGAGATCGTACAATAGAAGAGCGATATGTTTCTGATCCGCTTGTCCGTCTTGCGCTACCAAATTGAAGAGAACTAAACGAAGTTGAAGCATGGAATTACTAAATTTTTTTCTCCTAACTCTACTTCAGTCTTAAAGTACATAATAAAAAATAAAAATTTTAAAAGGGAAATTAAGAGTGTGCCATACATTCGAATGAAAACCCATAACGAGGCTAAGTATGTTGCATTTTGTAGGAATATCAAAAACCATTGAACATTTACGGTTTAAGAGATGTGGATCAATAACGGCTTTGAAAATCTTCGTCTTCTATGCAACGACATGAAGCTATGACGAAAACGAAGTCGAAGCGTTCTATATGGACCCAGAGAAAAATCGCAGAGAAAGCTATACATTAACTACGGTTATCATCGAAGATACTAAAGCTAAAATTGGACCCAGAAGAACGTCTGAAGAACTCCGCATTGCGACCACGGATTAGAATATAGCGACCAGGGTGAGCGGCTCTTCGACTTTATTTCCAGAAGCCTCACACTCAAAGCTGCACGTGGAAGTCTCCCAATAGAGAATCATATTGAAATAGACCACATCGTAGTAAATCGAATGTTTTACTCCGCCATCGTCGCTGTTTTCCCAAAATTCTACGCGGCGTCAGATCATTGCTTCCTTCGTACAAGACTTCATTTCTCGTGGAAAGGAGAAAAAAGGTGCTAGATTTTAAAAAAAATATGTCCAAAAACCACCATAAACTGGCATTTATTCAGTTCCTTAATGATGAGCTATTGGAAAGTCCTGTTTTTGATAGCATCTACGACGACCAGGAATACGACCGGCTCATTCAACATTTTCACGTTAACGCTTTGAAAGCTAAGAGTGCAAAAGACAGCAAGAGGTGGACTTCAGAAACACTAAAGATGACATGCTGGGGAGGAATCTCACGAGCTACAGGCAACCGCCAACTCACGTTCGAACTTGCAAAATAATTCTTGCGTACACATTAACACACTGGCTCGGCTCTCTATGCGTTAAGCTCCTGAATGCAAGGCTAATTAAAGGTTACTATTCAGTAGAAGAGGCAACTATCGTCCAATCCGCTCTCTGTATTTCCACTATATCGGCAACTATCGCCTGATCCGTTCACTGTCTGTTGTTTACAAACTTTTCACTCGAGTCATCCTAAACAGGATTGACAGAACACCGGACGAAGGACCGCCATACGAGCAAGCAGGGTTTCGAAAAGACTTTATTACAATGGACCACATCCACACGATAACAAGACTCATTGAAGTATAGAGAGAGCACAAAAGACTGCTCTGTCGCAATTTCATTTATTTAAAGAATGGCTTTGACTAAATTGGGATTGAAGTAATCAAGGAAGCCTTTGATAGCCACGGAGTCCTTACACAGTATAGATTCTTCGTCAGCTGTACAAAAATTTCACAACCAGGTTATCACCATTCTACAACGATATTAACATCGACGTCAAAAGAGGGCGATACCATCTCGCCAAAATTATTCACCGCCACTCTCGAAAACGTCATGCGAACATTAGAATGGGACAAAATGGGAGTAAAAATTGACGGTAAGCAATTACACCATCTTCGCTTTGCTGATGACATCTCCTTATAAGACTAAACATTAGCCAAGCGGAACGAGCGCTTGCCAACTTTGACAACGCCTATGGAAAGATTGGTCTTCGACTAAATCTCACAAAAACGATGTTCATGAGTAACGGATTGGTTTCGTATGCCCCATTAACTCTCAGTGGAATGAATATCTCCAAATACCCTAGTTACGTCTATTTAGGTCGGGAAATCGACATGGTGAACGATTTAGCTCCAGAATTGAGAGGAGGAAGCGAGCGGATTTCAAGTGTATCGGCGATATAGTGAACAGAATAGAGAACATCCAACACTGTACCCACCTTCTAGACTCTCCGATTCTTCTTGCACTATCATATGCGTCAGAAACCTGGTTGCTGCGTAAGCAGGATGAGCGACCACTCAGCGTTACTGAACGCGCAATCGGAAGGGCGATGCCAGGAGTATCCCATGTCATACAACTGAATGAAGGTATGCGAAGCTCCAACCTGTGCCAACGATCAAAAATCAAATATTCCGTTCTATACGCCAAACTGTAGAAGATAAGGTGGACCGGAAACGTATTGCGTATGAACGATAACCGATGGACAAGAGTTGTGAGTGGCTGGATTCCTCGGGATGTCAGACCTACTACAGGAAGACCACGATCCGATCGTCAGAGTTCTCACGAACGTCCTGGAAGAAATATATGACGCTGAACGAGTTCCTAGAACGAGCAGAAATCACTGGACAACTTTTGGACGCGACAACGAGAAATAGTATATTCACTGGCACTCGCTCGAGTCACTCAACGGGACGACAGATGCACAGGTGACCAAAAACAATTAAATAGAAATTTTAATACCTTGCTTATTTTTCTTAGTTTCTAACACACCTTAGATTTCGCTACGAGCTTTAAAAATCTAGAGCCTTTGCATTTGCTTGTTGTACTAATAGGCACACAAAGAAGCAGTAATTCACAGACATGAAGTGCTTTCTCTTGACTTACATCTATATTTCTCCTCTAATGGAGCACTTGACAGAACAGTCAGAGCGATTTTGAAAGATAAAACGCGCAGAAGCCCGTCGCGAGACCTGAAGTACAACAAAAACCACCTAAATAGAAAAAATTCGGATTTTCTGGATTCGCTGAGTTAAACTCACGGATCGAACAGATTCAATAGGAAATTGATACACAGATCAACAGCCAGCGCAACACTCCGAACCATTTGAGGATATTTAGCATTTAGTTGTTCGAAAAGCGGCAAAATACTGCTCACCATGCCCTCCAATCCAGGTGATTCTTCATTTGAAAGACCAACTAGACGAGAAAAACACTGTAAAAAATAGCACCATATGTAAAAGTAGACGTATTGAATATAAAATGAAGTCAATAAAATGTAAATGTTTTTGCTGTTGCTCACACTTTTTTTATTCAAATCGCTTCTTTTCTGTTAGTAAAGAACCGTCGCTCAATCAATCGATAACTGGCGCCCAGCACGTAGGTGTAAAAAACGAGGTGCCTTCTAGGAAACGTGGAAAAAAAACCGAGAGCAAAGAAAGACAAGGCGTGAAGAAAAAAGGAAATCCTGCACACTGTTTCTCATGCATTAGGCAATAAGTCTGAGTGAGCAACGTTGTTGCACTTAAACAATTCGCATGATATCGCGTGCTTTTTCGACACTTTGGCACCAAATTTCAGTTTTTCCGTAAAAGCTATTTTAATACTACGACTATTTTTTACTATTCCTGTTTTAACTGAGAGATTATCACTGTTGCTATTATTATTATTACTATTATTATTATTATTATTATTATTATTATTATTATTATTATCACTTATTATTCCTCAGGATCGACTTTCTATTAACCTCGGCATTGGAATATAAATGCGTCGTTTTCTTGTTCAGCAATCGCGAGTTTTTTAAACAGCATACATTTACTTCCATGGAGAAACACAATACAATACAACACTAGCTGACGTTTCGGCAGTATCGCCTTTATCAGAGCCTGGGAGGGTATACTGATATACAATACAGTAGGCCAAACGCTTCAATACCACTTACAAAAAGACGAAAAACTCTATGGTTACACGATCAACAGCTTCTTGAAAAACCCACCGCTTTTTCGTGACTTCCGATAAGAAAGTTTAGAACAGCTGATTATAGTCGCATATGGTTGATGACTGCACCATCCCATATCAGAAATCGATGCGAACATACGGGGTCACGTCACGTATGACCTCCCGACATTCGTCCTTGCTATTCATTGTAGGGTTTTTGGCATTTATTCAAAAAGCCTCAAAAAGTTTTCGCGCTGGTGTTTTGGACTCCTGTGCAAGGATATTGGCTTTTACTTCAAAATCGTCTCCGCTATGCTTTTGTGTCCTATGCGTGCCTAGTGGAGTACTTTGTCATAGGTTTCGCTTGCCACCTAAGTGTTCTTTTATACGGATATACAAAGGTCTGCCCGTTTCGCCAATATATTCATCTCCGCAATTATTACAAGAGATCAGGTATATCGTACCTGAACTCATGCAATCACCGTCCCTGCCGTAAGGGCAAATTACGCAATTTGTTGTTTCACATAGACGGTCAAACAGGCGGTTACGAACTAAATTGACGACGTAGAGTAGCCGGTGGTATTTCAACTATCGCTACCGATTCCTCTAGACTTGCCCTTCTTAAGCATCGCTTTATAGCTACGCTTACTTCATAGCTAATAAAAGGCAACATAAACGGGACTTTCTTTTGGCCAAGTGTCTCACGTGGGCGCGTCGCTCTCCTTCTAAACTTATCTCGTGGGTTACTATTTCGTAGCTATTGGAGATGGCTATTTGCCGAGCCAAGTCGCGTGACTCTTCCATTAGTTCCCTGGTAGTGCGCACAGAGGTGGCTGTTCGAAACATGTTTCTCACAATCGCCCTCTTTGTGTGTGAAGAAGAAAGGAAATGAACAAGAATGTTCTTGTTACTTGGTTTTCGATACCACTTTGTCAGGTAACCGCTACTTGATAGGTTTATTTGAACGTCCAAAAACGGAAGCTAGTTTTTTCTCGGTTTCTCCCGGGTGAACTTTATGTACTCAGACAGCATGATAGATTATGAAAACTTTAAATATCTTGTAATAGTTCCCAGGATGTGAAATGGTGCAGTCGTCAACCATATGCGACTATTCTCAACCAGCTGTTCTAAACTTCCTCATTGGAAGTCACGAAAAAAGCGGCTCTGAAAAAGGCGATACTGCCGAAACGTCAGCTAGTGTTGTATTGTATTGTGTTTCTCTATGGAAGTAAATGTATGCTGCTTAAAAACCTCGCGACTGCTGAACAAGAAAACGACATATTCATTATTATTATTATTAACGTTATCTTTTACTACTGTTGTTAATTGTCAATATTAGCAAATATTCTTCCGAATTCGATATCTTCCTTAGTTCACCGACCAGATTCAATTTTGTTATACATTTGTATGTTAGAAAAAATTAATAGACTATTTAGCACGGCCTACTTGTGACGAGTTAACATTGTAAGACATTTTTCGCAAAACTCCGTGTAATTTCCTTCTTCTTCTGTGAAAAATGATATATGTACTAGTTTTCACTGCAGTACCATGCTATTCAAACTAATATACAGAAAATAGTAGTTTTTCTAGTTTTTAGCCTCTAAGTTGAAATGGACCTCCTAACGGTTTACCGCCTCATAGTGGCTGGGAGGTGTTCTTGGGTGTCGGACTGCGATGTACAGCGGGGATTCGTCCCTCAGCAGGGTCTTCTAAACTGAGAAGTCCGGCGTCTCCATCAGGGAGCCTAACTAAGAGTAAACCAATACTAGTATCCACCACTGTCCTGCTATCAAACTAATCGCATGGTGGCAAATCTTCCTCTGATCCATAAGGGCTGCGACTGTCTGTGGTGGTGAAGACCTGGGACAGATTTTGACCAGCCTCACCTCGGGATTCCAGGAACCATAATGACCAAACCAACAAATCTCCGAAAAATGGAGATTATGCTGGGACCCGCAAAACCAGTGAGGACGGGCCATACAAGTGTCAAGTGTCGAGTTGAAATAGATAATAGACTTAACCTGATGTGTGTATTTAGAGAAACATAGACAGAGGAATTTTCTATAACAGAGAGGAATTTTTGCGAATTAGTTAATTTGAAATGTTTTCTCGAGGATCAGATTCAAAAACAAAAGTGGAAAAGTGAATAAGAAAAGAAAAAAAATGGTGGAAAAAAAAACCTAAAGAAACATATATGAGAAAACGACAAACTCCAAATATTCATAGATATGGTTGAAAATCTTTTCTGAATTAGAGATGAAATTATATGACTTTTTAACTATCTACGTTCACTCGTCTAGTACTATCCGTATGAGATAACTTTTCAAAAGAAGAATAGAAAACACCGCTTCAAATAAGAAAGGGATGAAATTCTGGACGAATCCAGTAACCTTTTCAAGCATCGGTATATCGATTAGATCCAGACAGAGTCGTTTCTGGAGTGCTCGAAGTTTCATCGCCGTTCGATAGGCGATGAATTTCACTCGATTGAATTGAGAGAGTTCCTTCGTCATTTCTACCCATACGGGATGTTCCCACTGTGTTTTTTCGGTGGTATGACTGCAAACAAAAACATAAAGAAGTGAACGAAAAAATGTGGAGTGATGACAGTTAGAAGGTAATTCTTACGAAAAACAAACAAGAGAAAGGAAAAAAGAAGCATCCATATATTTTAAACAGACTCCGTATTTTGTAAAACGCAAAAGTTAATATCTTTGAACTAAAAATTCCAATTCAAAACGTTGTAATTCGATGAAACATGCAAGAAAAGCTGAAAAAGTGAAACGTTGGAAATCTACTTGGCTGGGATTCAAAAATTTCACTTACATTCAGACGAGTTAATTAATTCGGAAAATCGGTTTAATGACGAATATTTGATGCCTATAGGCAAATTTAATGAGCTAATAAGGCAGTATTCTTCTGGATCAATTTGAATCAATATTTCAAAAAACAACTTAAAACGATGATAGCAAAGAACGAAATGATCGTTTCAAAGCATTTCATACAAAACATTTGTTTTAAATGCTTAACATTTTTCATTACTTAATTTCTCCATTAAGAATTGAAGTGCTTTCTCTCCTTTAAGAGTATAAACGATTCCAGTTGATTGAACTGTCTTGGATTCCAATCAAAAAGCGCATTTTGCATTGGATGATATGGCGAAAAATCAGTAATTAGAGAACAATAAAGGATTTTTCGCTATAGACATTAAAACAAAGCGTTTAGAAAAACTGATTGCTGCTCAAAAGCACAAAGCCGGGATCTCTAAGAAGAAATTGACAGGACATACTCGATGTAGTACGGTAACTGGTTCGTTTTGGAGATGGCACGTTGCCATGGAAGAGCAACGCTCTGGTTAAGAAAGTGCTCAGATGACGGACCGAAATCGGCCAGTGCATTACGAAGAGCAGCACTTCGAATACGTAACGCTGTCTTCAGAGCCAAGAACCTGGAAGAGATATCATTAGAATCGTTAGAGATACCTGCTCCAATTTTTCCAATCGTTTTCTGGCTAGTGGGTGTCCGTAGGTGTCGAAATGGATTCGAACGACGAGAGTTCATTCACGCACAAGGTTAACAAAGATGAGAAACAGTCCTATTGGTAAACTCACCTAAAAACAGATTACCATGGCTCAAAGATTGACCCACTGAGCTTTGCGTGATTACTTTTCCGTTGAGAATAATAAAAATCAAGACCTCTGTATTAAAATTGAGATACTCATGGTGTAATTCAAGTAAGTGGAGCAAAATCAATAACTCAGAAGTGCGACATGAAGCCGATAGGAGATTGCACCACCGCCCGTTCTAGTCATTCGATGAATGAAGGGATTATGGATGACATAATTGAATGTAGAGCGCGTGTAGTGTAGTGACTAGAGATGATATGAGCTGATATGCAACACACATGGGTTTGATCCCCTGCCTCACACTCATCAAGTCTTCTATCCCTCTGGGGTCGGTGATTTAGTAGCAGACCTGTTTACGAGGATCGCAGCACTGACTTGATACATCGGCAAACCACCATGAATCATTGGATAGCCCAGATATGCATTCAATCACGTCTAACGATGGTAATGAAGTTGAGTACATGGCGAATCCCTCAAAGATTGATTAGCGCCGAGAGCACTATCCCCTTTTTTGAGTGAGGTTTATGAGCGAATGTTTATAAAGTGAGACATTAATCAAAAACAATGGTAAAGCTTAGGATTATTTAGACCGGTAAATTTTGTTGATAAACGTCACTGTAATTTCCATTCCGTACTAAATCACTGGAAATGAATGTAATTTCAACTTTTACACCAAATGGCGGAGGTTGGTCAAGGAATAATTTAGAGTTTCGGACGAGTTTTCGCCATATCCATCCCTAAAACCCAAAAGGAGTAAGAGTTAGGTATGCTGAAGATGAAAAGATTGCCACTTGGAATAATTCCAACAATCGACCGACCACCCTCACTCACCGCTCATTGACAGCATCGAGCTGATTCCTAGGATGTTGGTCGAGTGGCGCATCGGCAGCTAGAACTCGTCCACACGCGTCGTTCGCGTCGTCGACATGGATTCTCAAATCGCCAACTCTTATTGCTAGCGATTCGCAAACGCGACGTGCGTCTTTCAATTCTTCGAGTCGTAGACGCTCAACCGGACGCAGATGTTCCACTTCGGATTCGACGGCGCTGAAGAAAAAAAAAGAACAGAAGTGAAGCGGAGAGTATGGTAAACTTCTAAGGAACTGTTGAAATCATAATGCAATGCACAGATTCTTCTAAATTCCTAAGCAGTCGTACCCGCTACATAATGTGTCACTAAAAAGTTACATTTGAACGCATATCTTCTTGCTTTATATGGGTTAACCGCACGAATTTATCAAGGAGAAAATCGTCAAATCGTTGAATGACATCTGTAACGAGCAACTCAGAGCTATCGTTCAAACAAATAGTGTTCCTAATGCCATGCAACGTTCTTTTTCTTAATAGGTTAGTAAACACGAAAATGTCTGCACTGTCTGTCTGGTAGCTTCGTGTTAGGTGTTTTGTCCGAAACTTGTCTGCTTCTCACATCGCTGTTAATACCGCTGATGTTATATCTTCATTTTAAACAGCTGATTTTATCGACAATGACCAGCAGTTCAGCCACTGTTAGTAAGATAAACATGCAATTTATCCTAAACAGTTAAGCAACAGAGCTAGAAATTGAAGACTCGAAAGATCAATAAAGCCTAGTATGAATACAACAAGAAAGGGTAGGTAGTAAGCTTTGGAACAATGTATAAGTGCTTAATGAAAAGAAAAAAAAACTATCTTTTTGTAGCTCGTTAGTGAAAACACATTTCTCCAAAGCTTTCTACTGTTCAGCTTTATACATCCATGTTGAAGATTTGATTATGAAAACTTAAAAAGACTACCACTAACAAGAAAAAATCAACCAGTCCTACCTTAGATGAAGCTGACATTCGGCCAACGCTCGCTCCAGTTCCTGAAGACGCAAGGCGGCCGCGTGAACGGCTTGATCCCAATCGGTGAACTGAGTGCCCAGTTCTGCCCATTTCTCCTTCAATTTTTCGCAATCCGCATGAATTTTTAGTCCACAACGACGTTGTACAACGTCGAGCTTGTCTTAAAAACTAAGCTTGGTTTCAGTGTTTGAAAAGAAATTTCGACTAATTTTCCCACTTACCGGCATCGTCGTCCTCAGCCAAGACACCAGTACGGTGGATTTTCGGTCGTAAGTCATGTTGCATGAGGAATGAGTGTGCATTAGTAATCGCTTCGTTAATTTGGGGTTCCTGGGCGGATTTTTTAAGGTCACGTCACTTATGATTAAAATAAATGAAAAGATGATTTTTTATTTAAAATTTAAATTAGAAGAATCTAAGCACTTAAACTGAAAACAGGAGAAAAAAATAGGTGGTAAAAAATTCTCAAAATTGGTCCATAGATCGCTCGACTTAGTGTCGTAATTTGAAGATAAAAAGTCTTAAGAAAAAGAGTATTATGTATTGTCGAGTATTCAGCGTATTTACTGAGTTTGAGTTAGTTTCCTAGTTCTGTAGTTTTATTTTTGAGCTGGTTCTTAGAAAATTCAGTTTTCTGAGTTGAGTTTATTAGCAATGCGTTATTAAGTAAAGAATTAACCTTGACTTCCATCTCCTTTTCGGTGCTTTTCAACCAAGCACTTTGAGCCATTACAGCCGAAAGGCAACCACCAACTGGTTGTTGCGATAACATCTGAATAATATCAATGGGTTCTTCGAGGTTTCAAGAGCTTTATTTCTTTTTGAATAAAAACCATCAGAAAATTCTTGTAAAGAAAACGATCAGTAAGGAACGCGAACTTCTTTGCTCTTATCCTCGATCCAACCAATCAGAGACGACAATATGTTTGTTAGTTTTTCCCACTCCTGTTCAGCCTCGGTTAGTCGAGTTCTTGAATGATAAAATAATAAAACAAAAATAATAAAAAAAATAAAATAACATCTCGTATCAACCTCGAGTAAGCTCAACAATATAAACAAGTGTTGATTATTACAGTATCACGGTTAAATGACGGTTGGTTCCCAAATAAAAAAATTGTGATATCCAAAATCGACCGTTTTATTGATTACGCCATCGATTTTTTCCACGTGATCGCTTCATCTATTTAACTTAAGCAATCTTAAAAATGATTACACGCAACAGTTAAAAGTTGACTATCTCTTTATGCACTTAAGATTTTTTGCTTTGAAAACGGCACAGTTTATTTATGTTGTTCTTTGCAACGAAGTATAAAGCATAGTTGAGGAACTCTGAAGACTGTAGGATGAAGGCATCAATCTCATCGTTGGTTATCGTAGGATCTTCACGTTTTATGTAAACTACGTATTTTGGAGGCGGGTAGCGCAATGACAGTGTAGTCGTTCACCATGAGGAGAGTGCTGGTTCCACCCCATAACGGGCTCAAATTACCAGAGCTGTCTGGGAATAGTGTTCTGCTGGCAATCAAGGTGGGAACGGTCTTCACCGGTTATCCCAGGACTACAAAGAGAACTGATTGGATCAGCATTGGGCGATATTCATGAAGAAGATAACAATCCTCAAGCAGCAGCCAAATCTACACGCGAAAATCGAAGACCTTCGTGGATGCTAAGAGACGAATTGAGTGCAAGTAGTGCTGAGACCGACAGAGTAGATCTGAAGATGGGTGGTATAAAATTAGAAAATGGACTTGTTATAGTCATTTTACTCTCCAGAAAGGACAATAGCGAGTTCGTTCCCCACCATAGACACCTGCGGTCCAGAGTTTTGCAAATATCTCAGCAACGTTGTGGTTGTATTTCGATTAGTACCCTGCCGCGAAATTATAGTAGGCAGAAAATAAAAAGGTATAACATAGTCATTTTATTTACTTATTACTTCCCTAATACCTCTTATATAGCTAAGTTTAACTTTTTATTCACTACGTAGTAGTTTTTCATGTCAAGGCATATAATAGCCTGCCATGAAAAAAATAATAGGCAGTAAATAAAAAGTTAAACATTGTGAACTTTACTGCAGCTTAAGCTTAAATGGGTTCAACCTCAATCGCTGCTCCTCAGATCATTGCCTTTGACGAGTGACTGCTGATACACAGCGTTTGGATAAAAAACTGGCTAAGAGAAAGGCAAATCGAGGCCTCGGCTGGTGCAGTGGATAACACGTTAGCCTTCGGGAACGATAGTCGCGGGTTCGAAGCTGGCCTGGGGCTCCGAGTCTTGCAAATATTTCAGAATCATTGTGGTCTTACACGATTTTTGACTCCTTCAGCCCTTTAAATGTAGCGCTTAAATCATTCCAAAAAAAAAGGCCTCATGAAAAACTAACCCGATGAGTTGCTCGCTGTTACGGACGTCTTTCCACTTCTGACAAACAGCGTTCAATCTATTTTGCACGTCAGATTTCTCCTTTCCACTCTCTTGCCCGGCGCACAGCTTCTGTCCCATCGCATCCACTGCTGTCAGTACCGATTCGTGTGCGTTGAGCTCGCTTTCGAGATCCTTAAATTATATGCTATAGCCTTCATCTTTTTGAAAAAAAATGAAAAAAAAGACAACTCTCTGTTTAGTTAGGCTTTTTTCTTCATTAGCTTCAAGTTTCCGATTTCAACTTCATTCATTTTCATTTCATTTCTTCTTCACTTTTTTCTTCATTAGCTTCTCACTGAGAAAAATTGCACCAGAAAACCTCCCGCCATAGTTTACCGCATGCAGCGCAATAATTAGAGGTGTCCTACGATGGAGAAGGTCATTGGTTCGACCTTGCGCGACTGCAAGTTAAGCCCTCCATCTTTCCAGAGCAGGCAGTTCGGTGCTAAACTTGTCTAAAAGCATTGGAACACTAACTTCGTAGAATGACAGGCTCTCAGAAATGATTTTATAGGCTAAATATATCTTCAAATCACTATTACTACGCTAGGAATGGAGTCGAATGCAAGGCACGTTCCCCAGCAAACGGCTAGTAGCACCGTTAAAAAAAACTTTCAATTAATAACGGTTTATGGGTACCAGCCCCAGTTATCGGGAAGCGCCGCCGGTACAACTAATTCTGGAATTTCAATTTTTCCAATAAAGATGGGTAATTGGTCTAACTGGATTAGTAGTAGGACCAAGCACCTACTACCAGTTTATCAAAAGCGGTCCATAGAGAGCAGAGAGAAAACACAAAAAGTGATCCATATGAGTAAGATATGTAGCAAAAAAAGAAAAATGATCCTCTATGCCTTTTTGGAATTTGCCTTTATGATTGTTACTTGGCCATGACATTTCTTCTTTCAACAGAAAAAAATAAATTTCGTTGGACAGAATTTTGGTACAAATTTTAAAGCCTAGTATTTTCCGCCACTAAACGGAAAATATTTCCCACCTTGTGTTGTTGAATCCACTCGTGTCGTTTAGCGGTGTCTTTTAGCGCTTGCGTGTTTTGTGTGAGCGTTTCGAGTTCGGTGACTCTCGTCGCGATTTTTTTCAACCACTCTTCAAAATCGATGAATGCAGTGTTGAAATCGTTATGCGATCTGAGCGTTGCCTCCAAAACGGCGCGTCGAATACGCAAACTGAAAACTCGTCCACTAGTCCAACGATAACCAAACTAAATACTTAGATGAAAGGATTCCTTAAGTTAATGAAATGCATATGCAAATGAGAGCAAGAAAACAATGCTGATTGCGAACAACGACGTACAGAATGATATTTGTCGATCGGCGATGATTGCTTGGCGCGATATTTGAAATTTCAAGGATAATGAGATTAGCTGCGCGAATGAAACAAATGATGATTGCCAAAAAAAATCGGAGCGGAATTCCGCGATTCACGTCGCTTGCCAGTTGACGCAAAATCGTGCAATCGCGATTTTGATCGTTTGACCCGATCGCTTGCGATTTGTCGCTAGCGAGGCCATGCGACGCGCGGCGACTATCGTCGCCTCCTGTGGCTATGTTGCCGGCGAGTTATTAGCGATGTTGTTACCACCAGCGAAACAATCTGATTCGATTTTCAGAATTTCGCATAAACTGAGCGAAGTTATTATCGCGATTTTAAATTGAATTACGACCGGATAAACATGAACAAACTCTTTTCCTTTTGGACTGCTTTTGAATCATTTGCACCAAATAACGACTAGGCTCTCAAAACAATAAAAACATCTATATATCCAAATCTGTTCAAATTTCACACTAATGAATCCACTATTCAATAAGCAATAACAGAAGACAAAAGACTCTGCCCGCTTGTTACCGATTTGCCCACACTGGCTTTGTTGGTGTTGTTGATGATGATCTATTGAATTTATGGTTCAGCATTTTTGATAATAGATTCGGTTCTAACACGCATAGTTTACCTTTCGTAGCAGATCAAAGACTACTGTTACTTGTTACTTCTATTATTCAAAAAAGTTATCAAAATCTATAGGTTTTCTCTGAGACCGTAACATACTTTAAAACTTCAATTTACCAGACTAGAAATTTACAGCACCCCCTATTTTCCGTGGTACATTAAGGTAGTAACGGGACGGAAAGATTTTCCAAACATAGTACTATTTCGTAATCTAAACAGCAGAGGTTGACTGATTTCCAATCGACTTCGAATAAAAATCTAATATCGGTTTTCAATCATCGAATGCCGTTTTATCAATACTCTACAGATGGTTTTCCAATATCATCGATTCTACCACTTTAGGTATTCTGCCTTTGCATGAAAAAACAAATATAAAGCTGATTTAATAAGCTAAAATAATTAGGGAACAAGCACAAAAAACCTACTTATCGTTGAATTTACTCCAGCGCATGTTCAGTTTACTCAACTCATGACTCATCGTATGCGCATCGTCGCGGATATACGTATCCAATATGGCATTTCCCTAAAAGATACTTTTTCTCCGAAAAGTGCTTCTTTTCACTATGCGTGATTACTTCATTTCCATAGCTAACATCTTTACTAGTGACTTCAGATTAATTCCTTACTATGTAAGAATTAGTTCCTTAGTTAATGTTATCGAATGCCAAAGACCAAAGCAGAAAGCAAGGTGCGCACTTTTTTGTTTTTTTGTTTTTCATTTTGAGAAAACTTCCTTCTCCAGTTTCACTTAATTCTAGTAGAATTGGTCGCAAAAGTTCTCTCTTCAATTTTTTAAGATTCTTGCTTATTTTTTTCTTAACCACTTTTATAGGAAACCACATTCTACCTTGACACGGTTGTTATTCATGAAATTGAAAAAAGAACAGAAAAACACAGAGCGAAAACTAGTAAACATCCTACTTTAGCATTCACGTCCTTTATCGCTTCTTTTTTCGGCTCAAGTTCATCGATGAGGTTTTCGATTGCCGTTAATTCATCGCGCAATGCCGCATCCGTTGACTCTTCAGTTCGTTTGCGGCCTGTGATGAAAAGGAATTCTACTTTTCCTCAGAATGAAAAAGAAAACGAAGGAATGATTCCGAAAATGGGATTGTTCATTAACACTCTTACTTTGTTACCAGAATCACACCAAGAATAATGTAACACAAGAACGTCTTACTATTGGGAAACGCTAGACAACTCGTCCTCAATATAGGAGAACTCGCACCGATTATGGCGTCTGCGTTATGCATCCACAGTTCTACGGCGTCCCGTGCAACTCCCCAAGCTCGACTTTGCTCGGCCAGTTGAAGGAGTGTAGTGTGACGCTTATTACATTGTCTCGCCACTCGCTCCATGTCTTCTACCTGTAATTTTCATGGCCTATATGTAAGAACTCTGCTAGTTATACAATGCCACATTCAGATCTTAAACACTTCATTGCCTCCACAGCTGTTAATAAATAAGTAAATGTGACTTAACATAACCATTTATTTTGGATGTAGAAAAATCTTCTGTAAATGGGAAGGCGTAGAGGATTAAAACAAAAATAACCCACCTTTTACAGCGAAGATTCAATTTTATGGCACATAATAACAAAATCTGCTTCTCTTTTTTGTATCAGTTATCAGTGAGTGACTCAACTGCTCATATTTACTTCTTATAGAAGTAGACTCACATTTTATCTATGCACTGCATCGATTTTAATGAAAAAAAAACTATTTCACATCGCCATCAGTAGTCCGATAATTGTAGCGCAGGTCTAGAGGTGGGCTTAATCACCAGTTAGAGTACAGCTCAGTAAATCTTCGGCAAATATACAACTTTATGTAAGAAAGTTATTCTTAAGGATACTTACCAACTCTCTAGCTCTATGTTTCACCAAAATCGCACCGCTAATGTCTTGTATAGCGACAACATCCATGATTTTCATACGAATATGTTCCATGATACCCTGAAAAAATGACACTGTGAAGTTGATTCGAAAACATTTTGATGATTCTGAGGTCAGAATGGAACGAATGTACAACAATGAAGCTTTTTCAAACAGTAATCCAAGTCATAAATCATAATGTACTACTCCTCGGATGCTAACATTGGGAATAGCGGTCACATTTAATCCTAAATCGATCCAACAACAAGGCGTTGAACATCTTGGCTAATGTGGCAACATAGCTAAGTTCTCTTAAAAAATCAAAGATCTACATTTCAAATTCGTTGCTGAAGTCCGAATTCGAATTTGGGCGAAACATAAGGAATTCTTCTCCACAATTCTTCTTTAAAAACGAATTCAACTATAAGCTATCTCATTTCTCATGAAGAATTTAAACTAAATTAGACCGTTTCAGATTTTTAGCGACTTAAAAATTTATGACAGAACTGTCTCCTTAGCAACTTTGTACATGGTTTTCGATGATTAAAAGACCTAAGAGCCTGAAGAATTGACAGAATTTATGAGCTTACATCTGCTGCCATAGGAACACACTTAAATTTCCTAAAATGTTACTCTCATTCCAATCTTGTTTAGAATTTAAATCTACAGAACAACTTGAGAGGAAATTCAAATTTTTAGCGCAAGTGCAACAATATGAGCGAAGATATGCTGGTCTGAAGGCAAAACACGCAGTTACGGTCACGTATGCATTCAAATCAGTACAGAATGTTTCAGATATTTCAAATATGAAATTATACGCTATCGTTAATACAGATGGATACTATACTACACACTCCTACCTACGGTAGAAAAAGAGTATAGGTGATATGGATGCAGGAGACATAAGTGATATGTCGGAGGAAAAGCAATCGTAAAAGGTTAAAGTGTAGAACGATCAACATCGATCAAGCCTTAAGGAAGGGCCCATGCATTCGACTCAATTCGTAGTATCGTAGAGTTGATTAGATGCTTACCTGTCCTGTAGAATGACTTGTGGTAGTCAACTAATGCCTCAAATCAGTGGTTTTTTCACTCTCTCAGATAAGTCCGGACCTACTCTGGTGTCTCCGAAAGGATAGAGGGCTCAGTGAGCTCAGGTGTGGAACTGACCCAAGGAACAACCATGTGTCTTGTGAAACGGTTTTAGTTTGGAATAAATCCTTGGCTTTAATGTCTTGTACTTTCAATGTCGCTAGATATTAAGTTCATATTTTAAAAATAATATAAACAAGTCGGAATCTGCGATATTCATACTCTTCTCCATACCTATGTACTCACATAACAAGAGAACCATGGAGTCCAAACGAAACCCCAAAGAGGTTTACACGGCAATGTGATCGAAAATTGTTGTCTAAAGGATAACAACGGTTTGGGACCGCAACTATCATGCCAATACTGATCTCACCAAACTTCACAACACAATATGTTTTCGCTTTGAATATCAGAACGATTGCTGATGCTGAATGAGAATGATGTTCATGAATAACGAGTTTGTAGATGCACCCAACAGAATCTGTGTCAGAGCAGTGTGAGGTGCTTGTAAAGGTGTCGGGGAATTATTGAATGTCAATAAGGAAATACATCTTGCACAATCCAACCACCACCTGCTCGATCAGAATTCTGATTCATTTTCGTAACCTGGCCTCTATTCTTCCACTTTTAACTTCAGATGTTTCTCAACCAACTTGGTTTTGGCTAGAGGGAAGAGAAAGCAGCTGATGTACTCTCTAGATGTTAACTTTTTATTTACTACCTTTTATAATTTTTCACGGTAAGGTATTATGCGTGAAACAACCACAATGATGCTGAGAAATTTGCAAAGCTGCGGACCGCAGGTGTCTACGATGGGAAACGAAAGCGTTATCATCCTTTGCAAGGGTTAACGCGTTCATCACCACACCATGAGGATCCTTCGCTTCGCCTGTCCCTCAGCTAGTTTAGCTCACATTCCCTAGAGTTAGTTGCTTTAAGCCAATGAACAAAGCGATTTTATGCTTCGCCGTCCACAAATTCACAGCATTAATCACACTTTCTGGTTATGACAACGCCCCAAATTCAGTATTCGACCGCGCAAAGGCGCGTGTAGCGCAGTGGTTAGAGGCGCTTTGGAACGCTCACGTGGTCACGGATGCGATCCTATGTCCTGGGTTTACCATTAAGCACTCTATTATTCCGGAATCGGCAAATTGGTGGTAAACTTATCTGAGAGGGAAACATTGATTTGTTACATGAGTAGGCTATTATGAGTAGACCAAACACGCATTCAATCATCTCTACCATGCTACTTTGAATGCATAGAGCATCTCAAAGGGGTTCATCAACACCGATCAATAAGTTCATCTCTTTTGCTTCTAATGTGCAATACTGAGTTGCACATACGACATGACACAATGTTAAGTTTGCAAGGTATATGGAAACTAATCAAGTTATCCCAGTTAAGTAAACGGCCATGAATTAGTACTGGAAATGATCTGCCTGTCTTACCTTGACCGTGTTCGTCATGTCACGAATCGCATTACGATCACATAAATCGACCGTAAGACTTGCGTCTCGCTCCAGTTCATTCAACCAGTGTCGCAGCTGTGTAAGCATTTGCCAGTTAGCCGAGTCGCGAGCGTTCAATCGTGGCATCGCACTAGAAAATCAAGAACAGAATCCGTAAATGTCACCCAAATTCTCAGCAATGAAAAAATACTGTCATCATTTCACTTTTCACACAATACAAAAACACCTGTCATTTTACTAAAGTGCTAAAATTCGACACCTAACAAACCAGAGCTCACAGCTCTTGAAACGCTAGACGACCAACGCTTAACTTTTGTCTATTTTCATTCCCAAGAACGGAAAAAAGTTTTTTTCGATGAGGTCATTACTATGTTGTAAAAACATTGAGATGGAAACAAAAAATCCAGAAATCAATGAAGAAATAAGTCCTCAACGATGAATAATTATGTGAGTGGGTCGTATAACGAAAATATGACAGGTCATATCACGATACTGTAACCAAATGGATGAAAAGTACTCCGGCACGTTCCTCTCCCTGTGATGGTGGACTAGCCGCAGTGATTTTTTCAGCAACCACAAAATTTGAAACACTGAAATTTGTCTTATCTGTAGAATGTTTCTTGAACTATTGAACTGATTAATTTCACTGATGATATGAGTGAAACTATTTTGATACTTGTGTCACACCATATGCAGATAAATACATAAAATTAAAATAAAAAACCCAAATTTTCGCCTTCCATAAAAACAAAAGACCACTGGAGAAAAAGTAGTGAAGATCACGATACGGTCTCACACTGCTGGTAAAGAGCGTGTCTGTTCTCCTTTTTACTGATGAAACAGTAGTTCTCCACTGACTCCCTCTTCATTGTTTTATTAACAAAAAAAGAACGACAAAAAAAACCCGTTATGTTTTCCATTTGTTCATATTCGAGATCATGTTAACTTAAAAGGTATATATTAAAAGAAATAAAGTTTCTCATCGCACTGAAAGTTCTATTATACGGTAATCAGCGCAAATACTGCAAGTTTCTTTTCTGTAAGTCATTAACCATTTATCGCGATTTATTCCCTTTTTCTCATTTGATAGATATTAAAAGTAAAAACTGCAATCTCCTAAGACAGTTGTTGAACTTACGGATCTGATCTCTCATCGTCTTTCGTCGATTCGAATCGACCATGATATTCCGGTCCGATGGCTTCTTCATCTTCAGTGAGTTCTCGTTCACAGTCAACTATCTCCTAAAAGATGCCTCGATTTTCATCCATAAAAAGCGACGAGCAATGAATGAGTGACGACAATCATCAACAACACACCGTAGTGTTGGTGGGATTTTTATCATCATCATCAGCATCATCATCATCACCACATTTGACGTTGAGGATGATATTCTGCGACTGCGTCGAGTCCACAAGCGCATTATCGACAGTCGACGGTACCGGTTCCGCTAAGGCAGAAGCGGCTGCGATCGCCGCATTACACAGTGTGATCACTGTCACGATTTTCTGAAGAAAACTATGTCCTTCGTCACTTCTTGTTTTCTTTTTCTTGTCATAACCTACTACGCAGTTCGTCATCAATATAGTGCTATTGGTGATGAACATCATGCAAACTCATAAAGGCGTTTTAGCGGTGAGTCGAGTGACCGTGTGAAAAGGTCCCTAGTACACTTTGCTTCAGCTGGTCCCACGAATTTTTCATATAAGCACACCGCTTCCCGTTCTGTACATGATATGTTCCCTAATAAACTCCTTGACTCGTCGAATAGAATGAATTTGGTGAAAATTTGCTATTCTAAACGTTCTCTAGTCATGTGTCTGTCTAATGGGGAGAATTTTTTCGTTCTTGACATGGGAACACCTCAGAAAAATTGCAAGTCTAGAAGTTTCTTCTAAGTTAGCTTCGATGTCGGCTATCGGTTGGTTTTTCCGCATTCTACGGCACTATGGTCTTACTTTCGTGTTCTCAGCAAATTTTATTAAGTGAAAAAGAATTATGACTAACTAAAATGTGTAAAAAACCCAACTTTTTTGAATTAAGAATTATTACGTTCCACAGAATTCAATTGCGTAGTTTATTGCTGCGCAACTAATGTTATAATGTTCCAGTCTCTTCGCCACTATCGCTGTTTTATTAGAATTTAGATCCCTAACGCATAAAAAAGAGACAAAAAGAGGCGCATGTAGCGCAGTTGTTAAAGGTACCCTGCAATGCACATTGATTCGATCCCGCCACTCAGGTTCACTAAGCCTCCTAATTTGGTAAATTGGTACCAGAGACCTGTCTGGAAGAATACCAGCACTGTCTCGATACATCGGTAGGCCACTGCGAGTCATTGTAAAGGTCAGAAATGCATTCGATCACCTCTAACGATGCTTAATGAAGTCGAATGCATGGCACATTCCTTAGAGAATGATCAACACCGAGAGCGTCAACTTTTTACTTTTTTAAAACATGAAAAATGAGTAATCAGCTCCACCTTCTCGTATTTCCCACCAAGCTTCTCGTGATTGGCGTTCACCTGCTGTACTCGCTCCTTGATCAATGCCACATCGTTCTTGAGTACTGCAGCATCGCTACGACAAGCCATCACATGATCAGGTGATGGAGTGAAAATCACCGCTTCGTTGATTGCTGCCGCTCGTCGTTGTAGATCTCTGCCACGATGTGCCACGTCGTCCACGATTCTCCAGAATGACTCGCAATCACGTCGTAGTTGTGCCAATGATTGTAATCGGTCCACGAGGTCGCTGCGAATCTGAATCATGCAACTTTAGAAAAGACATGTGATCTAAAATGTACAATATATAATCTGCCTTGATAGAAGAACCCAGAGGCAATAGGTCCCCTGGGAGCTCTCTGAAAGAAAATCCTTCCACTCCAGTGAGTTAGGTGACTGATAAGATTCCAATGAACGTAAGGCAGTAAGAAATTGTAAATAATGGCATAAAATTTTAGAAAACATATAACATTGATGAAGAACCTTCGTGGACAAATTTAAAGTCTGCTGACCTTCGGAAAAATGGAAACGATCAGGTCAGCTTAAATTATTTGGAAATAGAACAGCATAAGAGGATACGGCACAATAGCCAATTTGTAGAGAACAACATCTGCCTCAGTGTCAACATGGAACAGACCATAAACAAGGAATTATTCAGAAAAATAGGGATAACTGAATAATACAATAGATAACTGCAGCGAAACCTGAGCTAATATCTCAAACATGGGTGGTATATTCAGCTCCGACCATACAGATCAATTGCATTCGCGAAATTGCTTCCTACAACTTTAAGCAAACGTATCCCAAATCATACTAAACTTTGTAACAGAAATAAAACCTATGACAATCCAGATCTCAGCTTACAACGTAAGCAAATTTCTATTCTACTATGAAAACATTCTGACCTTTTAAGGCCCATGGTTCAGGGGTATATTTTGAACACCGATTTGACTAAACAATCAGAATTTCGCACAGAAAAACGCGATCTTTCCCAGAATGCGCTGTTCGTGTTAGCAGCTGTGCATTTGCTTTGAAAGCGTTAAAAAGTTGGAAACACTAGGACGACATTGCAAAGTCTCTTCAGTTTTTTTTTTCAAAGTTTTTCAAGTTCTTAACACCTGAAGCATTTCACTTACCGAAAAGGAACTGAATTTCGTCCATTAGAATTGTGGAAGTATTAAGAAGGCAAGCCTAATCCTGACGAATGAAGCGAAGTCATCGATGACACTTACACAGGCAGAAATTGTCAAAGCTGAGAAACTTTTGCACATCAACAAAGAAGAGTCAATTAGCAGGATAAAAATATCGGATAGATATCAGCACAAGAACATGCTGACTTCATAACGCATGAAAAGATCGTAGAGGTGACGATAGCCATGCAAGCCGTTATGGCACCAGGTGTCCCAGATGTTGGAGATGAGCGAACAGCAACTGCAGCTCTTCAAAGTTCTAGGTGCGACCGATTTTATACAAAATCTCAGATGATTGTAAAGAAACAGTAGAGCTGTTAAAAACATTACCAAAATGTTTATGTAGACCTTTAGTTGATCCACCTTCATATATCGTTCGAATCAGTTGTTCTACCAGATTCATTGTCATGCAATCATCATTCATGAAATCAGTCTCTCAAGTTCGTGAATGGATTCAGATCGTGGCTTGGAAACATGTCGCCTTCTCATCTCAATAGCACTGTGGATGTTGACCAAGCATCATTGTAGAATTTGAAGAAATCCGTGCTGCAACGCTCACAGACCTTCACAACAAGTAGTTGATGTCCTCTGCGAATCTAGGTTTATTACTTTTCAACATGGACACTACTCGACGATAGACGGTATATTAAGTCGCTTTAGAAAACGCTCAAATAGAACTATATATTACAAACCTGAAACCATACCATGTAGAGATAAATGGTCGAAAAAATAAAGACAATAATGGAGATTCATCACTGCAAACGAAGGCAAAGAAGAAACAAAAACGTAGATGAGAAAAATAGCAGATGATAAAAACAGAAGAAAAGGGAGGGAGCAAAGAAAACAGTAAAAAGATTTGGTGTTCAGTTTTGATAAATATGACGGGCATACGTCTCCTGGATTCACATTCCATTTATGAATTCATTGAAAGCAGCACAGCTTCTCTTGAAACATATAATGTATTTTAATAAACCAGCGATACGAGTTTTCTCCGAGATTTTCTCCATTTTCCTCCAACGAAGAAGTCTCACAGTAAGAGATAACGATTCTCGTCATTTACTCGTTCGCGGCTCAAACCAGCAATCATGGCCATAACAAATAATGGCACGTGCTTGAACTACCACTTCATCTCCCTCAAAGATGAACAGATTCTGAGATGATAACAAAGAGAGGACAACTCGTGTTTTTTCATATTCTAGTGAATGTCAACATTTTACGATTTATTTCAAAAAAAAGTCTCGAACATACGCCAACAAAATAATTAACACGAAAAGATAAGTATATAGAATAATTAATTAGATACACAAAATGTAAGAACTCACGTCGGCGATTCGCTTCGCCACTTCGCTAACGCCTCTGCGCGCTTCATGCTTTGATGCAGGATCGACGCTCGCCTGAGCGACTAACCTCTCCTTCGCCACTTCTAATGCAACGAGAGCCAATTTTCTAAAAGGAGAGGAAAACAACAGTTGATAGGAATGTAATAAAAGAATAGAAGGAAACAACGCCGACAAATGGAATAAATTCCAAGTTTATGTGCGACCGGCGATTTGCTGATCAACCGTAAGAGTGTATTCATCGGTTTGCGGCGGTAGTATACCACATGCGCGATTAGGTAATGCCTAACCGAATGAAAATCACTTGGGAGTAGAATAAACTTACTTCTCGACGATTTGTGTATTCTTTGACGTTGCTACCTTTATCGCTTCTTCAATCGCCTTCAAATCGTATGGATTGAAATCCGACACAAGTTCCGTCGCTGTTTCGTCAAGCCTTAACGTTATAACGCATTTTTTTTTTAGCGAGAAACAGAAAAAACTGGTAAAATTCAGTCGTCATACGGATATTAGGAATTCTTTTTAATACATGAATGCTGGGAGGTGCTCCTGGGTGTCGGATTGCAATGTACAACGGGGGATTCATCCCCTGGCAGGATCTCCCAAGCTGAAGAGGAATCCGGCGTTTCCATCAGGGAGCCTAACTAAAAGTAAACCAATACCAGGATCCACAACCCCTCTGATCCACAAAGGCTGCGACTGCCTGTCGTGGTGACGACCTGGTGCAGACTCTGGCCAGCATGTCCTCGGAACTCCAGGGAACCACAATGGCTAAACCAGCAAAACTCCCAAAAACTGGAGAATATGCTGGGGCCTGCACAACTAGTGAAGACGAGCCATCCAAGTATCCAAGTAAATAAATGAGTGGCATATTGAAACCAACAAGGCTTTAGTTGATGCGCAGATTCTGATCAATATTATTAAACTTTAACCAACAATTTTATAATCTTCAGCTCCATTTCATAACAAGAAAGATTCAGTACAAAATGGGGATAATCTGGTTTCACTGACAAGCCACAATCAGGAAGATTGGTTCAATGCCATCGGAAACCGATACCAAGGAATTTGATCAATCGAGTGATTGTCAGCTGAATATAACTAACCAGAACTGCAGATTTTCGAGTCCTTGTCGAAGCTGACTTTGGTCTACAGCGCGAGCATCTAGTCGAATACGCGACTCCCGCGTTGCTCGCACGAGGTCGCGAAATCGCGTCTCGGCGTCGCGTACGCGGCGGCGAATCGTTGTCGCTCGCTCGCCGTCTTCTTTCAGTCGTGGTAGTATAATGCCGAGACGTCGCACCGCATCACAAACTAGTGTTTCTGTTCGTGGCAACATCTAAAGCAGTGTTTTATTCAATGTTGGCTTTCTCTGCTTACTTTCTATCTACAGCTGTTTGTCATCGTTTTGTTTTAATGAATAGTCAGTTAAATTTTTCATAAAGTCTTTGTTCTAGTGAATATCCTTATTGCACCACAAGTTTGTCCATAACATACACCAAGGACTGCTTGATCTACTAATAAATACCATTTAGTGAACGTGTGCTTTATCATAAATGACAATAAAGTTGAACCATTCTTGTGTGATGTTCGTGGAATGAATGACTTGCGCGGAAAAAAAAAAAAACCCGAACCTAAAAAAAAACCACCAAAAAAAAAAAGAAAAAAAAAAAAAACCCAACCCGAACCTCAGACACTTCACACACCATCGCGAAATATTCGATCCTCCTAACTTGTCAACTTGTCAAAAAAAACTTAGCTTGTCCCGAAAAACAAAAACAATTAAGACCATAGGATTTGTGAGAAACATGACTTTCCGATTGGTGGTTTACAAAAATAACTTTAGACTCAGGAAAAAAGTATTAAATCCAGCGTAAATCGCCTCAATCCCTCCAAAAAGTGCAAGGAAACTAGAATACGACTCGGGAAACTTTTCTCATTCATGAAAATTGGAGCACAAGTAAGTGAGGACTAAATGTGAGTGGGCGTGTTAACAAATAACCGGAAACGAAAATGAAATTGCAAATTAAAATTACAGTCATCATCAGGATGAAAATTAAAAATGGAATAGCAAGAGAAAACACAGGATTTGAATAAACATATTGATGTAAAATCTTATAATGTACAAATAGAGACGGGGTTACTGCACGTCAACGCATTGTCACAGGACCAACCTCTTCGACAACTCGCTGACTTTCTTCGAGTTCTTGTAGTCGTGGACTCGTTTCTCGGCCGTTAAAACTATCCATTGCATTGTCACCCATAGTCACATTTTTTTCTATCTCGGACAACACCTGACAGAAGTGAAGATTAAATGTTGGCCAACATTGGCATCTAACAAGTGTTCACATTACACCACGACAACGAGGACAATACAACGTATTATTCCACTTCGTACGCGAATCAGTAAGCTTAATAACCATCGATGGTTACAATTCAAGACACTTAAACCGATTTAATGCAGAAAAAAAATTAAAACTATAAAAAAGCTATTTTAAGCTTCTATAGAACCGTACTTGTTGCAGTTTTTGCCATTCAACCCGATCGTCACTCGCTTTTTTCCTCCTTTTAGTGAGATCGTTTTCCAAAGTGTGTATGCGTTCATGTGTATGTGACAGTTCGAGTACGCCCATTGTCATCTGATGCTCGTCGATCGTCGTCAACGCGTCCTCCAGATCGTTGGACATTTTCTGAAGAACATTTCCACTACCATCAGCGTCAAAGCAGAATGCTCATTAGTAGCTTTGTACCTGTGGGAATCTTATACATAACTGTTTCACAACTGTAAATCGGAAGATCAATAGCAATATTCTATCCAATGTCTTTTTATACAGCATGAAGAGTTCTGTAGTTTATATTTCAAAGTCGAAATCCGAGTTTTCTATGAGCTTTTAAGTTTTTCGATTTCCTCAGAAAAAGAAAAAAAAGTGCAAAATAGCGATTCTGTTTGTTTAATGGTAGCGGAATGTGAACAGTGAAGACAATAAAATCCATTCTCACTCGTATTTTTATTTTTCTATTGAATGTTAGGTATTTCGCATGATTCAATTCCCGCTAAATAACCCACACTGATAACGACCTGATAAGTGCAGTAATGAGACAAATATCAGTGAAAAAATATGCCTCGTTCGTTCAACGAGAAAAACTTCTGTTTACTACGATATTCTCAAGTAATTCGGCAACTTTTGTGCTTTAACGAAGTTTTCGTGGATGGCCTTATGCCTCATTTCGAAAACCACTGCAGAAGTGATGCACGATGTGCGCGATGATTACGTCCGGAAGAAAAACAAGTTGTTATCACCGAACATTATCATTATATCCACCATCAGCATCGTGTATAAAAGGGCATCACTGAGTAAGGATGCCTCATTCGAGGAGATGGCTCACTGAAGAAGACCTGACTCGGCACGAAGGCGAAGCTGCCACGTCGAGACGAATAACAAGCGAGGACCATGGACTCGGACCATCGGCTCTGAGGAAGACGAAAACGTCGAAACGTTAGCCGAAAATAAATATCATTATCAACCTCGTGTAAGCTCATCAAAGAAAGAATACAGGGAGGAATGTCCAGAGGTCATACATGATCTATCCCGTATCTTCGAGCCAACTTTTGCTGCGGGGCGGTACATTCATCGACCATATGTCTTTCGAGGAGTTGTTGATCATTTGATTGCCATTCAGATCTTCATCTTTCTGTTTTTTTTTTTACTTGATCAATGCCGAGGTTAATAGAAAGTCGGTCGTGGCAGTTACTTTCTGTTTGTGTTATTGAAGCGTTTGACACAGTAAATTGTATATCAGTATACACTTCCAGGTTCCAAAGAAGGCGATGTTGCCGAGACGTCAGCTTTACCGGAATAAAGAATAAAGTAATATCTCGTATTTACTCAATAAGAGTATAGAGGATTATTTTATTAGATCCAAGGGTAATAGAATGCCGGCCAGGGCAACTGCTAGGCTCTTATCTTCGATCCACATGATCTGTTGCCTATGGTGAGAACCATGGACCTCCTTGGGAGGACCATTCCGTAATTCTAGGTATTACTCAAGAACCAAAGTATGATGGCAGTCAAATGGTAATTATAACTCTGCTTTCAGAACTATCAAAGACGGATAATTCAAGTGTTAAGTAAATACTTGAACTTAATTTATAAATTATTGTTACTACGTTAACTTCTTAACCACGGCTGTTTCAGACAATTCATAATATAGACATTCAGGAAAACCACTCATACCTTATATCGTTCTTCAAAGTCCTCAGTGCCTTCCATCGGAAATCGTTCTTCGGTAGCAATAGTATCCTCGATTTCATCAAGTTTCATGTAAACCTTAAAATTCTATCCGATTTTGTACGTCCACGAAAATAATCTAGAGCCAACTGCGGCTTCGTTATCTCACACAAAAAAAACATACCTTCTCAAGAGCGTCTTGTGACGATGAAAATTGATTTATGGCACCAGCCGTTGAGTGGATTTCACCGTTTGCTTCGTCTGCAGCAGTCGTCATACCCGTTGTCGGCTGAGCAACCGATGCAGCAGATTCGTTCGTCTTCTCGATATAATCGGAAGTTTTTTCGATTCGATTCAGTGGTTTATCCACCACATTTTGGAAATTTTCCGCTGCTTCAGGCTGGACAACAGCTGACTTCCTACTTTTTTCTGTGGTCGCATCCATCGTAGACGAAGGTTTAGTGGTTTTTTCTATGTCGTCTTCAAGCATTGAGACCTTCTGTACGTCAACGGCGTGCTCTACTGGATTTTCACACTTCTTCTCCTGCACTTCTAGTGTATTTTGTTGTGCAACAGAAGCCGTATTTGTTCTACCACAAGCTTCTGAATAATCCTCTTTTAGTTCCTCTTCGGTTGTGTAAGCATCGGTGACGTTACCGACTTCCATTGCTGAATATAAAACTTTAAATACATGACATCGAAATCTTCCCGAATGATAAAACGTGGATATAAGGCAAAGACTAGTTGCTTGAAATCTTTATCCCAACTGAAAATATCTAGATCTCTTTCCTCTAGGGAAAACAGAAACTAAGCGGCAACTACGACTGAACGATTTTATTCGAGTCTTGTCTTACCTACTTAAAAGTTTTCAGGCACAAAATGACAAAAACTTTTACGAGACTGAGATATAGCCACCGACTGTGGTAAAACCTCAAAAACATTTTTGCCCTCAGCATTACAATGATGAACAAAAAAACGAGGAATAAACCAGACACGCCCGATTTAAATGTTCATTACGAAAAAAGTCATCAAATAGAAGTATGGGACAAAAACGATAGAAATGAAGTAAAAACGAAATAGTCATACTGTAACGAACCTAGCGGTCCCGTACTGCTCATACTTGTTCGATCAGGAGACGTTCGAATCGGTGTCGCATTAGCAGCTCGTGATGGCACCACGTGCTTGGCGATAAGTATCGATTCGAGACGAGACAATTTGTCGCCGAGTGTTGCCAGCGTGGTGTCGCGACTTGAACTTGATTTTCCAGGTAGAGCTGCATGAATTCTGGCTGCTCGCTGTGATAAGGCTGCAAATTGCGAATCGCGATCGGCGAGATCTTGCCGTGTGGCCTAAAACATTTAAAATTGCTGAAATTTGGAGGAAATATTACACTCTAATTTTCCTTCGCTGTTTCTTTACACAATGGTGCTTTCACAGCTCACAGATAGGTTAGTAAGACGTACATTGGCGATGACTGGATCGTCGAGATTCCGAGCTGTCAGGGAATCCACCACCTCTTCAGCAGCTTCGCGATCTCTGTCCAATGCTTCTGCTTGGGCGAAAAGCGGTTCCAAAGCAGATTTTTGTGATTCTATCTCCATTTCGAGCTGAAATCAAGAAAAAAATATTTCAGAAAAAATAAGTACGTTCAAGTCATAGGTTATTAGCTATTATAGCTATGGGAGTTATGGGACTAAAATATCACAAAATCACAACTTAAAACTATTGTAACTCATTAAAATTCAAAAAATTCACTAATTTTTGGTTTCTTTTTCTTGCACTTTTAATCCATTTTAGTATCAAAAAACTGCCCAAACCTTTTTGAAATGTGAGCACAATGAGATAATAGTAAAGAACAATTCAAAATTCCCTGGGAAAAAAGCTTGTAATAATAGTTACCATTCGGAATTTTGACATATTTGTAAAGGAAACTTTCTTGCTCAAGCCATCACACGTCATTTCGAATAGAAAATCGACTAAAATATCTGACAAAAATAAGGCAAATACTTTAATTAGTAACAGAAATAACATAAGGTAAGCTAAATATTTTTATTGATTTGTTTCTATAGACTGATCTACCAGAAGATGATCAGCAAATTTATAAAAGATATGCTTAGAATTTAAGAGAAATCGTCAACAAAAGCAAACGACAGAAATAGTAAGCACTTTTAGTAAGAAAAGTTGGCCCGATACGAAACACAATAGTTGGTTGTGCTGATGAATAAGACGACTATGAATCATCATAAGCTAATGATAGGCTTCATAGCCCTATCATCGTTCGAATATTCGAGTCGAATCATATATACTCAATATTTTAAGCTGATGATTTCGATCTTTCGAGATATTCGACGTTTAATCATGAAGAATTCTCTGATTATTCAGTTAGTCGATGTGATTTTTCAACAATGGTATTCATCTGATTCACTAGTGATCCTGTTAATCAACGAGTAACTCAATCGGGGTACCACTGAAACACGTATTCCTCCTCTTTGAGCTTAAGAGCTACTCAATGGGTAGACGATGTCTGAAGTCTATAGTACGGTACACGAAGAAATTCACATTTAGGACAGGAAGAGGTCCACCTTTTGGTCAATGCATTTATCAAGTGGTTTTAACGAAAGAGTAACCACTAGCAACTCTTTGAGGTCTACCATAAGGTAGCTTATTCGTAGCTGTCTACCAGGTGAAAATGTTGGACTCTTTTCGGTTTTGGAGATCCTACCTAGTGACCAACGACCTATGTAGACCACACGGTGGATATCCGCAACCATGGCGAGGGTGTAAACATTGGGAGTATTGAAACGATAGCTCTCAAGAATAAATATTGGATAAAAAAGTAAACAATGAAGCGTTCACTGTGAATAGAACGCTTTGCATTAGTCTTCATTTACAGCACTGTAAATGTTACTGAATGCAAATTTGCTCTCCCTGCACAACGAGTTGTACGATTTGCCGATGTATCAAGTCGATATTTTTCTCATCCCAGACAAGCCTGATATTAATCTCCCAAGTTCGGAAGGACGGGAAATATAGTTAGTTTGTAGCACAGGATCGAACCAATGAGTACCTATGCTCAGCAAAACAGCTCTAACCACTGCGCCATACGTATCCCCATATTTAATTGCGTATTTTACTATATTTATAATAAATACTATTGTTGAGAATAGTTTTGGCACAATGCAATATTAGTAGTGAAAATTCTGGTCGTAAACAACAAATAACAATGAAAGATAGAGTAAGTAAACAGCTCATATTTACCTTAAACTATAAACAATTAACAAAGGTATTATTTCACTAAGTAGCAGATTAGTCGATCAAACAGGAACCTGATCAGCGATGGCTACAATCTCGTCCAGTTTCTCGATGGCGCAATGCGTGTCGAGCTCCATTCGACCGCTATTCGCCAGATTTCGGCCTGTTTCAATGACTTCATTGAGTACTGCTTGCGATTCGTTGAGAAAATCGTCGACAGCCTAAGAAACTCCAATGTTTGTCATTCTGATTTGAGAAGTGGAAGTCATAACATATTGGAGAAGTTATACGAAAACAATGAGGCCATTGGAATCGTTGCCAGGTTCGAATACAACGCCTCAAATGCGTTCTTGTCGAATTGCAAACTTCAAGTAGTAATGTTATTATTATTTAAAAGAAAGACTTCCGAGTTTGAAAGAGCATAAATTTGCAGTCAGATGCTCACCTTTACTCGTTTTTCCCACTGATACACATCGCTGACTGGAGACGCGTCGAAATCCAAGCTGACCTCAGCCTCGACGAATTTCGTTTTGAGTAGATCAACCTAAAAAGCATGCGAGAAATCGATAATGCCATTAAGACAATTAAAATACTGAATTCAGCAATAAATACGTACTACGACGTTCAAAAGTGGTTTATTTCTGAAAAAATACGAGCAGGCAGGTGGAGTATTGATTTGTAAGAAGATAAGAATGAGAGATAAGAAGTACTATAAACAAATAAAATCTCGATAGGGTTCTATGATAGTCGAAATTTTTGGAGTTTCTACAAAGAGAATCGAATAACATAGAAATCGCTTCAATGAACTCCAATAAAGAAAAAAAATGAACAATACACAACATTCTTTTAAGACTGCCTATGTGATTAAACCTTTCACACTAAAATTTTCTTCCGTATACACAAACAATTATGGAAGAAAATTCTACTAAATGATTAAAAGTAAAAATGCAAATACAAAATGAGACGATCAGAAGCTTAGGAAATTGTTATTGACCCACCTTCTGATGAAAAGGAAGATCGGCTGCGAGTTTGTCGCCGCCTCGAAGCTGCGAGTGGGCGACAGGAGGCGGCGAATGCAGCCGCGATTCGAGCTGTTGCCATCGATCTGCAACTTCGCTGCAGAGCTTCGCGTTCGCGAGGCGTGGATTCATGGCCGCCAGCTTTCGCGCGCGCGACGACAAGCGGTCGCGATCACCTCGTAGGAATCGCAGTGAACTGGCGATCTGAAACAATTTGAGAACGGCTTTGAAACCAACAAAAGCAATCAAATGCAAAAGAACTGACCGAATATAACTAGAATTATAATAAGAATCCCTTGAAAGAGTTTAGGGAAAAAGGGAAATTAACAGGCAAGAAGAAAATAAAATAATAGCCAGTAAATCAAAGTTAAACAATGTGGTCTCAAGTATAGCTCCGGCTTTATTGGGTTCAATGCCGACTGCATCCCAGATCATTCCCGCTGACGGGTAATTGCCGATGGCACCGTTGGAGTTAAAAACCAGTTAAGCAAAAGGCAAAGCAAGCGCTTCTGTTGGAACAAGAGTTGATGTGTGAGCCCACGGAAAAGGTAGCCGCCGGCTCGAAGAGCAGCTGAGGTTCCGAATTTTGTCCGTATCTCAGCATCGTTGGGAAAATGAACAATTTTAAAACTGGATTAATGAGCTAGTGGAAACGAACTGAATGCAAGAAGTGATGCGATCCGCAGGGTAGATATGAAATGGTGTCGTGTTAAAAAAAATAGTAAAAAAGGATAGTTTAGAAAAATCACTTGTACTACTAGAGTCGCAGGCCAGACCAAAAGGGCTATTTCAGCATGAAATATGCGGTAATTGTAGTAGATGTTAATATTTTCGAAATTAAACAGGATATCCTTTCTCATGGAATTCTCATAAAAATTTGCCTGCTCTTCTGAGAAACTAGGAAAGTCACATCTCGAAAAAAAATTTAACTATTTTGCTTTCTAACGTGTTATTTACTGCCTATTCTTTTTAACGGCAGGGTATACATTGTGAAATATAACTTCAATGATGCTGAGGTATTTGCAAAACTCCGGACCGCAGGTGTATGTTTAGGTGATATAAACCTTGCAATGTGTACTCTGCCGTTAAAAAGAATAGGTAGTAAATAATACGTTAAATTGTGATTATAACTGCGGCCTCAGCCTAACTCGGCTCAATGCCGATTTGGGCTCCCCAGATCAATCCCGTTGACGGGTGATTGGTGATGGCAAACGATCGATAGAACTACCTGAGAGACAGGCGAAACGAGCGACCCGCATGGTGTGGTGGTGAACGCGTTACTCCCCGGAAAGGAAAATAGCGCGTTCGTTCCCAACCGCATACACCTGCGGTTCTCAGTTTTGCAAATATCTCAGCATTTCATACGAGTTATAATTCGAAACATACCCTGCCACTAAGAAGAAAAAGGCAGTAAATAAAAGAGTTAAGATTCTCACAATTCATTTGCATTTCTGATCAATCATCGTCCTAAAATCTTTCCACTAGAAATACTCTCGAAGAAAGCGAAGATCTACTGCATACATTTGGAATTCTATAAAATTACTACTTATCATAGGAAAAATCTATTGTACCTCTTCGGGCTCCTTGTCTTTAATCTTATCGAGTTCGTTAACCAAATAGCCGTGAAGCTCATCGACTTCCATTAAAAGAGTCTCCTCATCATTATTCATTTCCTGAGACATAACAATCAGTGTTGATGCTTTCAATATTCAGAAAAGTGTGAAAGAAAAGTTCCCAAAACCAAGAAACTTGCATTAGACAAAAAATGAAGTTAGCCAATAATCGACATGTTTACTCATCGGAATATAATAGTACTATTTAGGAAATACCATTTCTCTTATGCTTAGATTTAGAAAGGAATTCTAAACTGAGCACACCTAAAGTTTATTGAACGATGAAAGATTAGTGGAAACTTAATAGCACCTAGGTTCTTTGAGTGCAACATGATTCTTGTACTGATAACATGATAAAGGTGGTATCAGTTGACAAACAAGCCAAATAAACATATAATACAACAAAAAGTCACCTAATACCCTGCCATGGAAAAATAATAGGTAAGTTAAAACATAACAAAAAGTCAAAGTCAGTAATATTATCAACGCACAATCACTATCAACAACAGCCGCCTCTTTAAAAAAGTACTGCCAAATGAGGTTGTTTACTCGAGCGGTGCTCCACTGAACTCAACTTGATTCGATCAAAACCGACATTGGAAGAAAGAAGAACAGTGGAAAATCGACTCGGATCACTCCGGCTCTGATGAAGGAGAAGATGCCGAAACGCTAGCCGAATAAGTTTTTTTTCCTACCTCGTGTTAGTTTGGCAATGAAAGAATACGTATTTATTGCTGAGGCCGAGGTTGAAGGAAAGTCGGTCTTTGAAATATTGTTACACTCTATGTTAGCTGATGATAAAACGGACACTAAAGGATGGATTATCTGGGAAAAAACAAACAATTATCAACGAACAGTCGCTACCAACAACCGTCCTGTGTAAAAGAGCGCTCCCAAATCTTGATTGCTTTATTCGAGCGGTACCCCACTGAAATGGACTCAGTGCGATCATGAAGATCCATATAGGAAGAAGGAAGAACTATGGACAACCGATTCTGGTCGATTCGGTCGGCTCTGAGTAATGAGAACGCGTCGAAACATAAATGAATAAAGGATTTTTTAATCGTTATCGTGTTAGCTTGTCAACGAAAGAATGACAAAAAGTTATTTTATTTGTTGTAATAGTCGGATACAAGCTATAATGGGACGCGAAACTCACCTGAACGGTCCGCGTCCAGCCATCGAGACGCATCTTCAGGGCATCGGCTCGGCGACGCTTCTCGGCGCACACACTGTCGCTGACCTTCACGGCGTACTCACGAAGCACTCGTTCCAATTCTTCCAGATTTCTCAACGATGCTTCATGTCGATTCCATTCATTCACTAGCTCTTGTACTGCTTCCTCATCATTAGACTGCAATACATTCTTTACATAATCCTCCTACATGAAACGCTAGTAATCGTCGCGAAAAAAACAACAGCTCAAAAAAATTTCGAAGATATAATTTATTTTATTAACTCTATTCATAATCACTTGCTTTTCCATGAGTAGGGAGCGTATTAGTTCAGTAATTATTTCGAAGCAGTTTAACCCTCTGCGGACTCCAGGCATTTTCTTGGGTTCGGAAAAACCATAATACTTTGCAATTTAATCCATTAACAACTTCCTATTCTCCATTACCTCATAGTAACCTCGTTTTCTGATAAACTGGCTAAACAAGTTTGAAGGCCAGATAGTATTTCAATCGTACAGTTCGGCAGAAAAGGAAACAATCGTGAATAATTCATCCACAATGAGTGTCAACTAAGTGTCTGCTTCAGATTAAACAACCATTCTTGTCGGCACACAAGTGGGGAAATCGTATTGTAACCCCTTAAAAAAGACACTTACATAAGAAATCCGAGCTCTGCTAAATCTATTTTATTATTTAGGGTTGCATAAGTAGCAGCACAACGATGAAAGTCTTGGAACTATAGGTAGAGATAGATGCAGCCTGCAGAAGCAAGAGATAGGAACATCATTTGACAAAGTTTCGCCTTCACCAACAATGTTCACGTTAATAAAAAATCTTCTTATAAAACGATACTACGGATTAGCGAAAAAGTGATACAGACATTTAGGAGTAGAAAAATAAGACAAGAGAAAAATATAGTAAAAAGTAATAGAAAGCTTTTATAAAAGTTTTTAGCTTTTGTAAAAAAAAATTTTGGGTAATATGAGAAATGTGGAAAGAAAATAAAACCGAAAAGGAAACTGAAAACTGGAAAATTGAAAAACTAAAAAATGATCTCTCACTTTATCCTCCGTTGCGTATTTCTCCAGACGTGCATCTAGTCCATCCAGAAATATTTCCACCGCTTCGGATTCTTGTAAAAGCTTGGCATACGTCTCAACACAATCTTCTAGTCGTTCTATCGTATCCTCAGCTCTCTGGAGATTTTATATATAATCGCCGCATGACAATTTTCATTCTCCTCAATCCTTTTTTTATCGAAATGGTCGCTTTTTATGTTGTTCTTATGGTCCCTCAACATATTCCATTAATGTTATACCTTTTTATTTTCTGCCTACTATAATTTCGCGGCAGGGTACTAAGCGAAATACAACCACAACGTTCGTTCCCCACCATAGACACCTGCGGTCCAGAGCTTTGCAAATATCTCAGCAACTACTTAAATACTTACAACAAATAAACGGTAGGTGTTTGAATGAAGCTGTTTCTTATGCGAATGCAAATCGAATTGTCAAGTTTTATCTGCTAGGGTTGTGAAAGTGTTTGGCTGAGTAGATCACATCTCAATTTGACCTTTCCAGGCTCTGAAGAAGGCGAAACCGCCGAAACGTCAGCAATTGTGTTCTAATAAATTCTATATTAACAACCTCGTGTCTGCTTATTGATGAAAAACATTGAATTATCAATTAATGCCGAGGTTAACAGAAAGTCGGTCATGGGAATTATCTCAGCAACGTTGTGGTTGTATTCCATTAGTGTTCGTTAAACGGCCTTGCGTGCTACAAACTTCAATAATTGCTTCTTTTCTGTTTAAAAATAACTTAAAAACGTTTAGCCGACATCTTAACGTATTATTTTAAATCCTTCTGTAAAGTGCCATAAAAATCCACGACCTTAGCTATCATCAGAAGGCCTTAAATTTGACAACCACAAAAATATTTCGTAGAAAAGACGCGTAAAAAATTCTGTTTCTAAAATTGACTCACCATTCCCAACTCTTTCGTTTTCTTCCTGCACAAGCGAATTTTCTCTGTGAACGGAAATGCAGTGTCTTTGTTGAATATTCCTTCCTAAAAATTGTTTAGATGAGATCGACACATTAATTTTTTCACTTAAGGAAAAGAACCACCTATCGACCTGATTTTTCCGCCAATCCTGCCATCTTCTGCTAATTTTTTGACAATGCAATTGAAACAGAACAAAAAACATAGTTACCAGTAGAAAAGTAGAAAAAATATGTACTAAGTGAATCTTTCTTAACCTGAATGAGCTGTTCTTTTCCTTTTTCAAGACTATGCACGTCTTCTTCGATGGAGATCAACTTCTTCACAAGACGTTTAGCGTCATCAAGTGTTTCACTACAGAAAACTGCTTCGATACCTTGAAGAAAAAAAGAACTGAAGAGGTTAAACTACAAGTATACCCAAACACAAACCAGTCATATCATCAAGTGAAATCTCAATGTCGCCGAGTTTATGGAATGTTCTTTCCAGCTTCTCCTCAAACGCTCTCGGATGCTTGAAATTAGCAAATTTCAGGCTTAGCTCCATCATTGTATTCTAGAACAGTGAAGATTTCAACTTTTTAGGTTAATAATACTGCTAAAATTCACAATCTACTCAAAACTTATTGTGATTGGCTAGAAAAATCTAAAGAGATCCGTATCAGAAAACTACTGACTTATTACTTAAGCGGACTGGTCCATCATTAAGAAGACTTCGTACACTGCGAAAATCATAGCTCAAATGCCACTTTCTTAGTCAGGTTGGCTTTTCTTCCCATACTCCCGAGATATCGATACCAGGGCGTGCTCAGCTCTTCATCACAGGCAGTAGTGGGCACATGTGGATTGAAAGGAGGTTTGATGGCTTATATTCCAAGGCAGCGACGAATCCTTTTATGGATTTACTCTAAACCGATCTACGGAGTAGAAACTTCGAACTACTTCTTAGATTGGGTGATCACGCCGGAAGAATGAAATCCCTTCTCGTATGTAATGCTGAGAGACAAGGAAAAGGAAGGACCCGGATGGTGTGGTGGTGAAGTGCGCTGCTCCCCGGTAAGGACAACAGCGCGTGTTCGTTCCCCACCGCATACGCCTGCGGTCCGGAGTTTTGCAAATATCTCAGCATTACATACGAGTTATATTTCGCAACATACCCTGCCATTAAAAAGAAAACAGTAAATAAAAGGGTTAAGATTGAAATCCCTTCTTTTATTTAAGCAACCCGATCGTTTGCAGATGGCTCGCAAAAGAAGAAGCGCTTTCCTTGCACAAACTACCAGTGTGACTATCCTTGAAAGTTCTCACAAAACAACGACTTGAAAAGTCAAATAGCCATAGAGTTAGATGAGGATTAAACTCGCCGTATGAAAAAGTGCTACGAACGCCCACTTCATAAAATAGAAGCAGACTACTTAAGAATTTGAAAAACAACCGGTTTTCCATGAATAATCAGTACGTCTGCAATGGTGGCGATCACAAGTCTTCGTAAAACCTGGACACTGTAAAAAAGAAGGACGATGAGTTCCAGCAGTACCTTCGCATGGGTGAACTGATCATGAAATCGTTCGTTGTCACGGCGTTCGCCTTGCTGTAGCCAATCACCAATTTCTTCAAGTGTTGTCGACCATATTTCGAATTCACGAGCCAATTCCTGAAATAGATGAAAAGGAACTTCAGCCTATCAGTCTACCTTAATTGATTTACCCATATCCATTCAATCAGTCAGTTACTCATCCACTCAACATCACCGTCATGCTTATGTGATCAGAGTCATGCAAGACGATCTCGACAAAAATTAGTTCGAACTTAAACTCAAATTCCAGTCAGAAAACGACAGAACATCAGGGTGTAGCAAAATATTAGTGATAGGCGGGCCTGGAAAATCGATATAGTAGATCCCAGCATGCTTTCATTTGAGTATCAATATCGAATCAGGAGACAATTTCGTGACTTCTATAGAAAATAAATCATAAAAGATCAACATTATAATAAGCAACAAACTATCAATTACAAGAAATCGCTATAATAAAGTAGAAATTCGTTTTAAGGGTAAGAAAAAGGTACTTTTCTTTCTTTCTTTCTCAACATAGGCAGTTTTTCGTTCATTGTCGCTCATGGATGGTCAGTTTCGTCAACGAGGAACCGTTACTGTACTGCTTTCCTACCGTGTTCCAGTTTCACCACTTGTAAGCACTAGGACGCTAAGAAGCGAGTAGATAAGATTGAATAGGAACTGGGTGGATAGCAGGCCGTTAGCAAACAAAGTCATCCATCAGAAAAATCTATTCAGTCATTTTGATTGCCAAAACGATCATCCATCAGAATAATCTACTCAGTTCATGCCTTTTTTTGGCTTCTCTTATCGTCTTTTTTCGTCTTATGGACCATCTGTAAAACTTTTTCAGTGACGATTTGCCTTCACATACAGAATTCACTTACTTAAATATAGAATACTTTTTATCCCTCGAAATTTTTATTCTACATACTTTCTATTTTGTACTGAGAACAAATTGTAGTTTCTCTAGATCGAACTATTTCTATTTCGATTATACAAAAAAATGTTTTAGCTTTCCCAGTGTTCTTTCGAGAGTTTTTTCCCTCATGATAACATCTCAGAGAGTTTTGAATTCGAATCAGCTCTATAAACTTTAATTCTACAATAGAAAACGAAGAAAAACATAGGTTCATGAGTATATTACATATATATACATATATATATATACATATATATATAAACACATAGACACACAAATATACTCATATATATACAAATATATACATGCAGCACACTCGTACTTCCATATAAACACGTACACAGGAACACACAAATGCACGCATTCAGCATGAGAACATACATACAGATACGTTGATACGCAGATTCTCATACGTCACATACACAAATATAGATACGAACAAAACATCATTTACATACATACGTACATAAACACATATATATATACAAACACACAGACATGCACCGACACTGAAACCCAATTTCCATTCCAATTATCATATTCGCTTCCACAAATATGAATGCCATTGATAAAAAAATGTTTACAAATGCTTCCATATGAGCTGCTTCAAAATCTTCGAGACTATTGGGTCTCAAACTAGTTTAGTCACCATTGTAATAAAAAGTATTTAATATTATAAAAACAATAAAGAAAGTCGCAACGCCTTATCAATTTTTTTTCAGACGTTCTGGATTTTTAAACTGAAAAACCGAAATTCCTAGTCCATTTCAAAGTAGTTTTAAACTAAAAATTTTAGCTGCTCTTCTAGTATTGAATAAAATTTTTCAGGACCATACGCAGTCGTACTTCATACTTTGAGATCTTAGATTATTATTATAAGAACCATGCACATGAAAACAATGACATGCGGTTTTAGCGTAAATTCGAACAACTCACTTGAACCAGAGTTCCGGACTCAAATGCAGACTGGAAAGGAAAATTGGATGGAATGAAGTGGATGAGATTAACAAAGTCCATGAGCGAAAGCAGAGAGAAGTTATTGACAAATGAGGATCGGAAGCGGCGTTGATAAGGTGCACATCGATCGAAGGGGATAGGTTAAAAGCACGCATTAGCGTAATAGAAATTTGGCTGGAAGCAATGAAAACTACCGCAGTGAAAAGAATATATATTGATTTTTACTCCATTTAATGACTTCCAATGATCTTCGATTACAGCCAAAACGGATGAAATTCTACTTATCCAGAAACCTTAAAGATATTCATTGCTTTCTCGCCCGCTAATTGTTGTGGATATTGAAATTCACGAAGATGATAACTGCAAGTTATCTCAAAACAAATTAATGCAACAGTTCCGCACTTTCTTTTTCGCGGACTGACGTTTAAAATTACCATTTTCGCAATGATTTTAAGTTATTTCTGTTGATGCTTCCATTGAAATGTATATGATTTCTATCAAAAAGTCTCGTTTCATCAAGAAAAGTGTGAATTGTTCAAAAAGAACTACGGAAATTAATAGAAAGAGCAATAATAACAGGAAAAGACTTATGCCTTGTATTCATCCGGAACATCCAACGCAGACACATCACTGGATTTTCGCAAATCCAACAATGTGGAGACGGTACTGCTCCATTGTTGTATGTCCGCCATTTGCTTCTCAAAGTGTTCACAGTCGGCGACAGCACGCGACAACGCGGCGATTCGCTTCCGCGTGGCGTCCGCGAGTCGCCGTCGTGTTTCATTCAGTCGCAAATACGATTCGCGTACGAACAACTCGTCCATTGACGGTATGGATGACTCGTCCACTTCTAACGGTGAGTCCACTTTTTCCAGAAGACTCTCAAGATTCTGAAAATCATCGCAATGATAGTAATGTTCACTATAAAATAAGAAAATTTAAATAATTTATTTATTGAATTTTATATTTAATATTAATAGTTAATGAGTATATTTAACATTTAAAATAAATTTAAAATAATTTATAAGTTAAAACAATTCACACTTGTAAACAAGCATCTTCAAAAATTCTACCACAGAACAATTACCAAAGAAACGAAAGAGTTTAAAAAGTGAGCATTTTAAATAAAGGAAGTGAAATCTCTATGGCTTGACCAAATTTATTTTTTAAAAAGAATTACTCTAGGTTTCGGTGAGAAACTTGAAAACAATTTCGATAATTTAGGAGAGTTTGAAAGTTTCATAAAATCCAATCGTGAATTTGTAAACAACGTTACAAGGACTACATTAATTCATCAAATAATTAGAAGAAAAATTAAGACGAAGTATCAGCAGAAAAAAATAGAAATTCAAATAAATCGAAGACCAAAGTGAACGACTAAAAAGCCCACATCTAAATGTTCGCAACATTCCTCAGCATCCGACGCACGTTCGCTGTCGGTCAGACGTTTCTCGAGCTCCTGCAGAAAACGTTCCTCGTTGTTGATTTTTTCTAAATGGAAAACGTTGATGAACCAAAAAATGTCCTTCTGACTGCCCGTTGTTGCTGCTTAGAAAAAATCGGAAAAAATGGAAAGCTGAATGGGAAATTATGCTGTGATCAGAAAGAGTTTTCACGAGGATCCTCAGAAGTGTCCAAAAATTTAGGAATTAAGCCCGAGCCAAAAAAGAAGTGTCCACAAGATTCAACGTGTTTTTTGTAATTTATCTAAGCAAAGTAATTGCTTTATAAGTACGCAGCGTAAAATATTCTTTAGTAGTGGATTTCATAGCTTAAACATTTTATAAAATACAAAATAAGACTATACACCACAAAAAGGTTCCTTCTGTCGTCTTAAAGAAAATCGTGGAAAAACTGAAAAAAAAACAAAAACTAGCAATATTTTGTCTTTTGTTTTTGTTATCGAACACTAAAATCAAAACACCAAACATAAACGGTTAAAAAAGAAAATACACAGAAAAAGCTGTTTTGCTCGACAGGACGTTTAAAACACGGTAGTAAGCACTATGTGTGAAAAAGAAATGAAAAATACTCAAAGGTGTAGTTATGCTTGTAAGCGATGAGAAACAAATACAAGAGATGAAAAAAACGAAGAGAAAGAGTGGCATTTTCTAAGAAACACAAAAGTACTACATGAAAGAAGCTAGCGCTTCGATAAAATATGGTCGCCAATTATTGAAAAATTCACCAAAATCATAAGAAAGAAAAGCAAAAAATCGAAGAAGAAAAAACCAGAAGTTCAGATCAAAAGGCTATTAACAAAGCTCATGAGATGAAAATAGGTGTTCTGTTTTCTTTCAAAGGATATGAAGAAAATAGCCAATACGTTCATACTCTTTTCTCTTTCGTCTCTTACTGCTATCATGTTTTCTTCACAAAACAACGATTTTTTTTGACTGATCACACAAAAGTTTCGATACTAATAATCAAATATTGACGGAATTGACGGAGAGAAAAGATGTTTTGCCATCAGAAAAGCCGATAAGAGCTGTCCGACTTTGCAGGGAATCCAGTGGAGACTCACAGTGAAATCAAAGAACAGAAGAAAACAGAGAAAAAAAAGAGAAAAAAGCCGAGAAAATGAAGAGAAAAACTATCCTAGTCAAATTATACTTCCATCTCATATTTCATTTCTCACGTTTTATCATATTTTTGCTCTATAGTTTATCATTCTATATTTTGTATACGTACGTGTTTTGAATTACCCGAAAAATAATAAATGAAAAACAACGAATAATCAAATAAAAAATAAATACAAGTAATTTTTGGAACTAATACACTTCTTTTTCGACGATTATAACACAGTATGCCAGATTACGGCTAAAATCACAAACAAGTAAACTGTAAAAATCGATTAATAGATTCCAATTAATAAACGAGCAAATACCAACGAATAAATAAACAAATAAACAAATAGAGAGTACTTTGCATTGATCGGCGATGCTCCTTACGAGCGCAACTCAGGTGATCTTCAATTGCGTTCTCCAAGTCCCGCCACTGATCACTTAAATTTCGAATTCGATTCCTAGTTGATGTGAGCATCTGAACGGACTCTATTACAAATGTAAAATACTAACAATAGTAATAATAGTAAAGGTAATACCAAAACACAGAGAAGCACTAAAAGCAAACTTAATGAGCGTGAAAAGTTTATTTTTTTCAAACCGATCGTCAAATCATTTAACCTCAGTGGTAGTAATCAATACCTTCTTGGACTGTTAAGCTAACATGAGGTTGATAAATATATTTATTTGGGCAACGTTTCGATGTTTGCCGACTTTGATAAAACCTGTAGAAAAATTAGTCTTCGACTTGATCTTGCAAAAATGATGTTCATGAGGAACGGATTGGTTACGTATGCCATTCACGCTCAATGGAACGAATACCTCCGAGTGCTCCGATTGCATCAATCTAGGTCGGAAGATCAACATAAATAATGACGTAGATCCAGAGTTGAACAGAAGGAAATCAACGGCTTGGGGAGTTTTCAAGAGCATCGATCGATTCAACGGTACTTCCTGCGCTAACGTATGCGTTAAAAACCTGGTCGCAGCGTAAGCAAGCAAGATCACTCAGCGTTATCGAACGCGCAGTCGAAAGGACTATGCTAGGAGTTTCCCTTTCCATACAAGTAAGGGGTAGGATCCGATGCTTCGATCTGCGTCAACGATCAAAAATCAAAGATGCCGTTCTGTACGCCAAACAGGCGAAGATAAGGTGGGCTGGACACGTAATGCGTATGAAAGACAACCGATGGACAAGAGCCGTTAGTGACTGGATTCCTCGGGATGTCAAACGTACTCCGGGAAGACCACCGACTCGATGGTCAGAGTTTTTCACGAAAAGCCTAGAAGAAAGATATGATGCTTCACGAGCCTCCAGAGCGAGTGAAACCCACTGGGTTACTCTGCACGCGATAGGGAAAAATGGAAGATTTACTGGCGGCCGCTCTAGTCACTCGACGATTAACGGGACTACAGGTGATACAGGTGAACGTTTCGATGTCTTCGTCTTCATCTCAGCCGATGACCAGAGTCGATGGTCGACAGTCGTTGGTCAGCTCGATATTCCACTGAAGAAGATCCGACTCGATACGATGGAGAAGACGCTGCTTCGAGAAAACGAATAGTTGTGGCCCAATGACTAAGATCGTCGCCTTTGGTGAAGACGAAGACGTCGAAACATTAGCCTAAGAAACCTATTTATCAACCTCGGGTTAGCTCAACAATCCGAGAAGATATTTATTTTTTTTATTTTTATTGAATTAAGTGACGCTTAGTAACACAGTGGAAAAGCAGACAGAGTAAAGGGAAATGTTCAAAAAAGCTATTAATCGAAATCAATTTACTTTGATAGTAATAATAACAAAGAACAGCAACAAAGAGGCGTGGGACATGAAATAGTCAGCGATACCATCCAATACACGCATCATCTCTCGTTCAACTACCCTCTGGGCCAATTCAAGTCCCCGACCCTCAGAGATCAGCAAACCGATCTACAACGACTGGCTATTGGTCGTAATAACACAGTTATGACCGGATTCCATGGAAAATCGACTCAAAAAGCATTGAACGATATTCCTCAAAAAGACCAAAATGCTCAAGTAGCAACCGAACCCACACGCAAATTCGACGACCATCGTGAACGATGAGAATGCGAGGATATCAGTCGGATTCAAGGATGGTGTGCTCGCATATTATGAGAACTCGAGTCATGTAGAACAATAACAACTTGCCTTTAATGATTTATCACCTCATAGTGGTGGAAAGATATTGTGGTGTTGAAAAGCCATGTAAGGAATTTACACTAAGCAAGTTATTGCTTGACAGATCTAAGCGAATCCAGAAAAAAGACCTATATTTCCATCCTAAAGCCCAAGTATGAGTTAACCAATGCCAGGAATTTTTGTTCTCTTGAAAAAAGATCGAGTAGTATTGCGGTTAACATCCTTCCCACCGACGTGGATCGGAAGTAAAAGAACGTATTAACACGGTTCCTTCGGGTAACCAGGAAAATCAAAAAAGCTTTTCTACTCAGCAAAGGACCTGGTGACCAGAAAATTGTGTTGGATGTCAGGCACTTCTTGGCAATTCAAGGCAAGGCATAACTTTAGACATTAAAAGGTACGTTCTATTTAGTTGATTGAGATAGCGGAAAATTTGGAACGATATGTCGCACTTCATAAAATAACTCAAAAAAACAAAAGAAAAACTGAAATAGACGAGGAAAGTGGGAAACTAGTTCAATAAAAGAAGAAAAGTTTTAAAAAGCTGAAAAAATACTTCAATTACCGTTTGTGGCACATTGTCGTCAAGAGCGAGCATCTTTTCGGCAGCTCTCTCGGCTTCCTTCTTCAGTGTCTGGTATGAAGTGAGCTGTTCTCGAGCATGCTCCAATTCAACAATCGTGCCGCCAATCGATAAATCACTGCTGCTTGTCGCCTCCACCGACACCGCGATACTGCAAACCCAACCAGAGTAAAGTGCATTGCTAAATTTACTCGGTGATTTTTCTTTCTTGTTTGAAAATTACTACACCCTTTGATAAAAGGAAAGTGATCAGCACTGACTTAACTGGATTGAGCCTTTCCTCTTCCGTAGAATAAAAGAGAACTCATTTACTTTCTGAACGGGAAAAAATTTTTGTATGCAATTGTTGTGTCGCTTTGTTTATAATTAGGAATACCGTTTTATATGAATTGGCAATAAGGTGGGTATAAAAAAGTTAGAAGTTTTAAAAAAGTTAGATTTAAGAGTAACAAAGTACCTACAAAGACCAAACTACAAGATAAAGCAACCTATAAAATTTTCTCTAGAATAAAAAAAGAAGCAACTTGAATAATACAAAAGTGCAAGCTGACATACAATCTCTCCCTGATTAAACACAAATATTTCTCTCAAACATCTACATGACTTGGGAACACTAACAAGAACGGTGGCGCCATTTTTCTCAATGAAACATATGAAGCGATCACTTGTATCACCTGTAGTCCCGATGATCGTCGAGTGACTCGAACGGGTGCCAGCAAATCTTCAGTTCTCCCCTGTCGCGTGGAAAAGTAGCCCTGTAGATTCTGCTCGCTCTAGAGGCTCGCCGACCATCATATCTTTCTTCTAGGCTCTTCGTGAAGAACTCTGACCATCAGATCGGTGGTCCTCCTGCAGTACGTTTGACATCCCGAGGAATTCAGTCACTAACAGCTCTTGTCCATCGGTTGTCATTCATACGCATTACGTGTCCAGCACACCTTATCTTCGACTGTTTGGCGTACAGAACGGCATCTCTGATTTTCGATCGTTAACGTAGGTCGGAGTTTCCGATCCCTTCTCGCCGGGCACGTAGTCGAGTGTTCTTCGTTTTCTTCACTACATCCTCAATGCTATTCAAAGCTCCCCAAGCCGTTCGTTTCCTTTTGCTCAACTGTGGACCTACGTCGTTCAACGTATTGATTTTCCGACCTAGATATGCACAACTGGAGCATTCGGAGATACTCGTTCCGCTGAGCATTAATGGGGCATACGAAACCAATCCGTTCCTCATGAATATCGTTTTTGTGAAATTTAGTCGAAAACCAATCTTTCCACAGATTTTATCAAAGTCGGCAAGCATATGTTTCGATTGGATAATGTTTGGTGTTATAAGGACGATGTCATCAGCAAAGTGAAGATGGTGTAAGTGCTGATCGTCGATTTTCACCCCCATATTATCCTTTTCCAATGTTCGCTTGACGTTCTGGAGGGTGGCGGTAAATAATTTTGCGACATAGCATCGCCTTGCCTAACTCCTCTTTTGACTTCAATGTTAAAATCGTTGTAGAATGGTGATATCTTGGCTGTGAAATTTTTGTACAGCTCACGAAGAATCTTTATGTTCTGAGTAGGAACTCCTTGACTATCAAGGGCTTTCCAGATTGCTTCCATCTCAACTGAATCAAAGGCCTTCTGTAAATCGATGAAAGTGAGACAGAGCGGTCTTTTGTACTCTCGCGATACTTCAATGAGCCGTGTCACAGTGTGGACCTGGTCCAACGTACTAAATCCACTTCGAAACCCTGCTTGCTCACATGGTTGTCCTTCGTCCAGTGTTCTATCAATCCTGTTTAGGATGACTCGACAGAAAAGTTTGTAGACGACAGGCAGCAAGCAGATCTAAGTAGTATTCGTGAATGATTTTCTTCATTGCCTTTCTGGACGCTGTAACTGTTCCATCTGGGCCTCACAGTGCAATCATCTTGGTCATGTAATTGGCGAAGCTTGGGTGGGTTTTGCAAATATTTTTCCCAGCCTGTTCAGCTTCGACCATAGCTGCTGCTCTTCTCTCTTTAAGACCTTCTTTTATCGCCTGTCTGCACAATTTGGAATGTTCGGACGTTAGTTCGCGGTTGCCTGCAGCTCATGCGATTCCACGCTGGCGTATCAGCTCCCGTTTCTGGAGACAGACGTCTCTTGGTAACTTTTGAACTCTCAGGTTTCATAGCGCTAACGTGAAGATGTTGAATGAGCCGATCGTATTCTTCGTCGATGTTACCGACAACGGCATCTTCCTAACAGCCGCCTAATGAATTGAATAAGCCCCAGCTTGCGGTGATTCTGGGACTTCGGTTTTGGAATTTTGCGGCTTTTTCTCCTTTCCGCGAGAAATAGAATCTTGCACGATGGATACGATGGCCTGATCCGGTGTAGAATTTTGAAACAACAGCGACATCAGTTAGGCAAAGCCTTTTATTTACTATGATGTGGTTTATTTCGCTATGGCACTCTCCATTGGAAGACTCCCACGTCCAGCGCTGAGAGTGGGGCTTCTGAAATTGCGACGAGTTACCAGAGTTGGGATTGGTCGCCATGATAAACTCAAATAGTCGCTCATCCTGTTCATTCCATTTTAATCCGTGGGTCCCAAGCAATGTGACGTTCTTCAGACGTTCTTCTTGGTCCAATCTTGGCGTTGAAAACTCCAATGATGACCTTGAAGAATGTATGGTCGTTTCTGTAGAACTTCCCCAAGTCCATATAGAACGCGTCGACTTCTTCTTCGTCATAGTCCGACGTCGGCACGTAAACGACGAAGATTGTCAAAGCCGGTATTGATCCACATCTTTTCAATTGTAAGCGTTTGATTCGGATTTTTAGCTGTTCGAATGAATCAATGTTTATGAACAAACTCGTATTGACGAGAACGCCGACGCCGCCGACTCCTCTACTGACGCATGCTCTGTGGAACAGTTTTTCTCCGGTGTCATAGACGGCGTTGAAGAGGTGGCATCGTATCGTCTCGGCAAGGCCGATGACGTCGTACCTTATCCTTCTTGCTTGCATGAGCAAGTCTTCTATCGAGGACTCGGATGCAAGTGCATTGTAGGTACAGATCGTCACTATAGTTCTTTGCAATCCAGGCATCTTCCATTGCTTCTGGGACTTTAGCAGCCTCTCCGTACTCCTCCTACCCAACGCTGCAAAATTGGTAGCTCCTTCAGGGTCAGGGGAATGAGCCCCGTTTCTTTTACTGTTTTCAACTTTTTGATACCTACTTATAGCTTGCTGGGCTCTGAACGTGGGGCCTGGGTATACCCATGGGTGGCTTGCGAGGCTCTCCCAGAGTGGACATGCAGCTTATTTATTATTTGTTGTATTACTTATTGGATGCGACTCTTAACCGCCTCCTATATACTTCCCTGTCACTTGATTGCAGGCCTTTGGCCGAATTGACTCGTAGAATATAATCCGCATAAGCGAGAACGCACCCACACACGCATGCATGAATACGCCTAGCAAATACAGAAAGTATGTGCCAAATCGGCGCAGGAGAAACAGGGAGTCCATCCCCTGGATCCACCTGCGTCTCAGGGAAGCAAAGGTCGCTTCTGGTCAGCGATGAACCCCCCCTCCCGCCCCCCTATCCTCCACCTGGGGAAGCGTCGCGTAGCTTCGCGACTAACCGGCTCGAGATTCCTCATGCGAGGGAGATCCGTGGATGAAGCGATATCAATCTAAATTAATATCTCACGCCACATATTTACTGAATTGAGTCCTAGCAACGCCTTTCTAGTTTTTTTTGTTACATCTCCAGCCCGCAAACCTTGTTAAAAACATGAATAAGAGCCAGCTAAGATTCTCAAACACTCGTCCAACCTACCTTTGTAGTCCTTCCTCGGCTGCCTTCATCTTCTCCAACGCCGCTATCGTTGCTCGTCGTCTTTCAATCATCTCAGCTAATCTGAACATAAAACTCACGTAATAAACTGGAAATATAGCTCCATGATTTTCATTAGTTTGCAAATTAAACTGCGCTATCAAGTAAGAAGTGTATGGCTAACGACTGATCATCAAAAACATGTTAAATAACTTTGAAGAGAGCTCCATCTTTCAGCCATATCATAAAAACATTTGAATTGGAATGTTTTCTAACCCACGATGTTCTTCATTTCAGGTTCCAGTGAAGTTTCAGAGTTTATAAAAACATAGACTAAGTCATTAACCTAGCCTGTCAAAGCGATTAACTAATGAAAATCGTTCCTTATCGTCTTCAATAGCGATACGCTAATCACCGAGATTGTAGTCTAGTCGATCTAAGTTTCTTTAGCCCGTTGACGATAATTTGAGCTATGTAAGGCTCATATGCATCATATACAGTTCCATCCGATAACACTTGTATATTTATAGACTTGCATATATCATGTTACTACTGTATTCAACTACTATTTCTTGACTACTAAGAGATAAAATTTTTCAACAAAAGCTTCATCTTCAGAAAAAAATATTTTTTCCCAAATAATTGAATATTCGATCACTCGATTACCTCGTTTCTGCTTTTTCTATTGTTTCAGCATTTAATTCTTCTTTTCGTGCTAATTCGACAATTTTTTGAGCTCTTTGCACTTCCTTGTCCAGCAAATCCACATCGCCTACCGTACACCACTTATTCTCCAGCTCCAAATTCACCTCTGCTTCAGTTTTTGATGTCGTTTGTTCCTTTAAAAAATAGAGCACCGAACATCGTTCCGTTTCATCATTTTCTTTCGTCATTTTAGTATTTCATCTATTTTCTAGAGCTCCACAATACTATTGAGGACGGACGAAAATCTATTTCAAAATCACTGCGCTTTACGAGCTATCCTTTTTGGACTTTAAAAAAATCCATTATTCAATTTTTACATCTTGTGTTTCATTCTTCACATCCTCTTTTTTCAATAATGTAAACTGAATCACTGATAAAAGAAATACCTCTGTAAGGACTTCGATTCGTTTTCTGACAATATCCAAGCCTTTCTTTAAAATCGCCCTCTTCAATGGATCTTTTTCAATGAATGTTACGTTTTTATTCTGAAATAGATGAAGTTTAAATCCAACAAGCAAAATCTCAAAGATGAATAACAGTGGAAAAAAAAGTACGATACAAAACAGGGAAAACACGGAATTTCACCTGAGTTTCTAATTGTTGTTGAAGTTTAGCTAGCCGTTTAACTCGCTCGCTTCTCGGTATTTTAGCTAGTTCCGTTAGAATTCTGAATTCAAAACATTTTAATTGTTGAATTTGAAATTTAACAGTTGAAAGAATTTAAAACAGAATTCACAAAAACTTTGTCGTTTTGCCATATTTTTGCCGAAAAATAGGTGAAATCCCATCGGAAAGAAAAATAAAGCCAAAGATTACAAACATCACTGACGGTTTGCATCCCCTTCTGCACTCTAGAAACCTAACATCAGAGGTGAAGTATTAAAAATTATTGAACATATTAATTCTATTAATTCTATCCATCAAAATAAATTCACACACTTTAATAGATCTATTCACGAATTCCTGACGTTTTCCTTCTGTTGAATAAAAGTATTTTGTGATAGAGCGACCATTGCTTCATTGAAATTTCATCGTAAATTTCATCGTAATAGTCTCGAGAGAACAAAAAAATATCGAAAGAAGTCTTAGTGGAGGGAGGTATCGCGGATTTCTACGGTTGTTTCATGGAATGTCGTTGCGATAATCTCAAAAAATAATGGTCAAGAAATAATCTACAAAAAAGCCCGGACCCAGTTATGGCACCGTTTTGTGGTTTTGTCATCGAAATTTTATTGGAATACCCCGAGAAAAACAAAAAAATAACAGAAGAAGTCTGCATCAAATCATTGTGCCTCTCCATGGTTGATCCATGGAATCTCGCTAGAGTTATCTCAGAGAAAAGCTAGGAAATCCGGAAAGAATGTCTGAACTCACTTATCACAGTTTTCGATCCACTGTTCGACGCCTTTCGCCACACGCGTCTCCTTGTCGGACATATCCTGTCCCGTCAGCACATTCATCGCTTCGCTGATCTTCGTCACAATTTTTGCCCAACTCTTAAATGAAACAAAAAATATTCCAAATTACGGCAGAATGCATGGAGAAGGCATTTCCCAAAATCATTAAAGCACTGAATAAAACCGGGATCAGTAGAATTATGTGTGACGATCATCCAAAATCCATTATCGAGAGCTCGAAAACGACACCTGACTGTTTCCGCTAAGCTAAACCGTTCAAGAGGAAAAAAAAAAAGAAGTGTAACGAGTAAAAAATGGAACAAATGGCACAAGACGACTGAGATTGCTGTGATGACATAAATAATGTAGTTATTGATTCACAAATGTCACCCTTTCTTGCCTTATCTTATTTTATTTTATTTCACCGTCATTTGTTAAGAAGAAAATTTTTTCTTTCGGTTAAAAAACTAAGAAGCAGAATTGAAAATAAAAAGCAGCCGAAGAGCTAAGAAGTGCCACTTGAGCATCTCGGATCAGTTTGTTCAAAGGTCGCCTTCAAACTAAACAAATCCCCTAGCTTCTGTCGAGACCAGTAGAAATGATTAGCAGAAAAGGAGATGTCATCTAAAAAGTAAAACCACTACTCCAAAACATCGAGCGATCCAAATCTACCTCCAAAAGGTCATCACAGTGAATTTATCTAATTGATGACTGCCGAAGGCAATTGTTCTGTAATGGAAGATCGTATGAAATCCATTTCCATGATACTGACCGAAATCGTCCAACCTCTATCATAGGTATAAACAATAAAGCATTCAGCGTTGATCAATCCCAAAGGGATGCGACATGTGTTCAATCCCATTCGTACCATCGTAGAAGTGGTTGAATGAATTACTTGGCCTATACAATAATTTGTGGAGCCGTAACGATTTATCGGTTCAGTTTTTTATCCCCATCGTCAGTTTACTATCCTTTTCCGACACCAAGGAATGTGGAGGCTAGCTGCCCAAGGTCGAACCAGTGACCACGTGCGCACTGTAGGAGCCTATAACCATTGCCCCACAATCACTTTTACATTCCACAACCTCTACAATGCGATGTAATAAAAGTTCAAAGAGGAACTCAAAAATAGCACTAATGTATACAAAACAGCGTTCAAAGAGTCCGAAAAGGTTTTCCGTGCTATGCCATGATTAGTTGCAAAAAACTACCTTAGCGAACGTTTCGAATGCGTCATTGGCTTTCTTGAGTTGAGACTTTGAAAGGCTGGAGCTGAGATGCATATGTTCGAGTTCAAGTTGCAGACGATTGACTCTCGCCTCTTGCTCTTTGATTTCGATAAGTTTCTCCTGACAAATGTTGATCATCTTCCGAACCTTCAACAAATTCGTTCAGTGGAAGATTTCTTGTTAAAGTTTTTGGTCAAAAATTACTTCATAATTGAACTTTTCCTTCAGTTTTTCATCATTTCCGCTCCAAGAAATGAAAATTTGGCATTTTCTCTCGCATTAAAATAAAGCTGATGTACTCATTATAATTCTAATTAAATGAACAGGAGAAATACATAAAAGTCTTTAAAAGAAGCACTGCAGTTGTTTATTTAATTTACTCTAATAGGTAATTAATATAAAACATCGAGTAGGGCCGTAACACTGGGAACCATACGAAGAAATCTGGATCTAACGGGCTTGCTGTTTAGGCTTAAGTTTTTACATCAACACCGTCTCTTAAATGATATGAAGGACATCCGTTGAAAAAACAGCTTTATTTCTCTTATTGGAGTACGTAATCAGATACAATTAGTAATGGGTATTTGCAACGCAATAATGTGAACGAAAAGTGAAAAGGAACAAAAAATTAGGACAAAATTTAAAAAACTGGTAAAAACGGGAAAACTTTTTTTAAGAATTTCAATTTATTTTTCCCCTAAAAACAAACAAAAGTGAACAAGCTGGACCTGTTCAGGTTTCTTCGAAATTGTAAAGGAAGCGGACCAAGCTTGAAGTGGTTCTAATTCGGTTGCCAGCTTGGTAACATGTCGTAGAAATCGCTCGACAATCTTAATTGGATGAATATTTATAAAAGGAAGAAATACCTATAGAAAATGCAAAAATAGCTCAGGTGATAGATAGAAAATGGACTCTTGTTTATAAAAAATCAATGAAAAACAATAGAAATAATAGGAATAGTTGCAGATGGAAAAGTAAGACGTTCACAGAGTTTCACTCCTACCTGATTACCAGCTTCCTCACTCTCGGTATCCGTCGTCGCTTGAGGACTAGCCGGCAGCGTTTCGCATGGCTTCGCTTTCAACGGTGCCTGAATTTTAATAAAAAATCGATTTTACAAGTGTTAAGAAAGTTTTTATAAAAAATCAATCAAAAATTGGTAGTATTCTTTCGCGATAGTGGATGTCGAGATCTTTATCCAACTGGATGTGGTTATTGACCGAAGTTTTCAGACCGACATCTACAGGCGATACCATATGTACTATGCCATGAATTATTTAAAAGTCTGTGGCTTTTCCAATAAATCGCTTCAAAAAACCGAAAAAGAATACTGTAAATGAAATGTCCGTACCTCATTTTGCTTGGTAACTTGGTCAGTTCTCGACTTCTGCTCGTGTGAAGAGGTTGGACAACCGGTCGTCAATTCTCGAGCACGCTTTATTTGACGAACATCCGCCTTACCGCTTTGAACAAGCTGAAACACAGCAGCTATCTCTTCTAAGATTACAGTTACCTTCCACTTATTAAAAAGTGTTACTTCTAGGCAATTCACAGATTGAAGCACTTAATCTGTACTACCGTTTCGTCTTCCTTATGAACGTCGTAAAATGCTGGGCGAGTCAATTCTCCTTGCAATCTTCGAGATAGCAGAGCTAAAGCGTGTCCACGTTGATTGGAGAAGAGTGTTGTGGTGGGGGTTAAAGCGGGAATTGTAAAAATTAACAGAAATGAGTGGGTGTTCCGGGTATTCAAAAGTCGTGAATGATAACGTGTTGTCACAAGCTGAGTCACGAAAATTGAAGAATTCGAAGTTCAGTTGAGCCTCAATACTTGAAAATCCTCTATTCTATATAGCCAGCTTAATGGTTAGGTATGAGCGTCTACATTAATGCCTTCTCCTGTGTGAACAACACTAGTTGAACGGTTTGAGCACTCTTATTTTTTATTTTAATCTTTTATCGCAGCGATTTGGTGCTTCTCGGTATTCAACGGCGATGTTCAGTGACGTTATTGCCGTTGAAGAGAACAACCAAAGCTAAAAACAAACTCGACATTTCCATTTGGAAGCCCAAGTAAGTTTGAGTCCATCTTAAAAAAATGATTAAGGATTAACTACCTCCTTGTAAGAAACCCAATCCTGAAGCGCAAATCTCGTGCCGATAAAAAAAGATAGCAATTGTCCCTAATGACAGATTTGGAAAAATGTTGGTGGGGCGATTTCGACACATCAAGTAAAAAAGATCCCAACCAATATTACACACCAAATTATGCCATAGCCGGAACAATCCGTGAAAACAGCACAACAATTGGGTAGTGTGATTTAGTTATAGAAATCTTCTTTCAACTAATTCGGTTAAGGGGACAAGAAGAACAGTGGTTACAAATACCGTTTCACTTGCGCGCTATACTCACTGATTCGATTCCATATTGAGTCAACTAATACTGTCTTTTCACCAAGATAATCAAATTGCTACCAGACTTGCTAAGGAAAAGTTCTTTCCGATTCATCAAGCCATTGGCTGTTTGTGATCGCGACCTGGAAAACTGTAGAAACGCTATCCCAGAATTCCATCAGAATCACATTCGATTAGTAGTCAACTATATTCATGAAGAGAAACTTCAGCTACTAGCCGAACCAACGTGGAAGTCAAATCATCGTGAATGACAGATGGTCACGGTTCGTAGAAATCAATAGAGAAATAAATAATGGGACCTCATAACTGTGATAGACGAATGATCATAACAGTGATGAACGAAATGCGGTTTCTTAAAGCGATCATTGCCCATATTGTGACACTTCGGAAATCCCTGACCACAAACAAAACATGGAAATCCGTGAGCAAAGTATCTTAGCATATGCACCACCTACTCGCTCCCACGAACGTGATATTCATTTTCTACCTCGCTAGCTGTTTCTCTTCCTTTCATTCTTCACTTCTTTCTTACCGTTCGACTATGTTCCTCAATCCTCGCTACCAGATTGTCCCATCGCTGGGTGACGGTGTCCAAACGACGACGGACATCGTTCGCAGCAGCGCTATTCCCTTTTTCCAAACGTGCCACCAGTTCACAACTCAACTGTGAAAGTTTTACAAACGAGCCATGCTCTGCCTCAAGAGCTGTCTCAGCGTGTTGAAGCATACGAATCTGAACAAACTGCATGAAGTTTTAATGGAAAATTCGAGTCCCTTTTTTAAAAAACCATAGAAAATGGTAAATAGTCATAAGATATTAAATAGTAAACGCGTTTTAATTCATCGTTATCCAAAAAGAAACATAGCTCTTCCTAAGTTTTTTTTCTTAATTTTCTTTAAGGGCCATGACATTATTTCACCAGAAGAAATTGGCTTGTAAATAGCACTAAACAAAACCTTAATGTTGATTGCTAATTTTTTCTGAAACTGTCCGTTTCATAGCTTTCATTCAGAATGAAAAGTTTTCGGTTTCCGCAAAGTCGCTACCCATGAGAGAACTCAAGACTTCACTTGCGAGTGTTAACGGTCAGTGCTGGTGATTTATTACATTACCTGTTATCCGTCAGTAGACGTCCTGATGACTGAGAGGAAATCCGGGTTGGATGACCAGTGTTGGAAAATACACACATGGTGGTGCAACCATTCAATTTTTAACCGTTTTATTTATTGTCTATTCTTTTCAATGGAAGGGTATATTGCGAAATGTAATTTCAATGATGCTGAGATATTTGCAAAACTCCGGAACCGCAGATGTCCGCGGTGGGGAACGAACGCGCTATTGTCCTTTCCGGGGAGTAACGCGTTCACCACCACACCATGCGGGTCCTTCGTTTTGCCTGTCTCTCAGTTAGTTCTATCGATCACTTGCCACCAGCAATCACCCGTCAACGGGGTTGATCTGGGGAGCCCAAATCGGCATTGAACCCAGTTAAGCTGATGCTTTAGTTATAATCACAATCTCAACCGTTTTATTTACTGCCTATTCTTTTTAGTGGCAAGGTATGTTGCCAAATATAACTACGATGATGCTGAAGTATTTGCAAAACTCTTTATATATTTATATAATTTATAGATAAATTTTGCAAATATCTCAGCTTCATTGAACTTACGTTCAATTTTTTTCTGTCACGATAATATATCGAGCTACCAGATTTATCACAGAGAAAAGAATGCGATAATGATCCAGAAAAAAAATAAGAATTGACTTTGTGACACTATGACGAACAAACGTGACAGTCCATCTCAAGGCTGACTGCCGACATCTGTTGGGGAAGGTTATTCATCAACTAACCACAAAAGATGAACACAAAAGAGCCTTCAAAATCACGAATACGAACAACAGCGGAAAAAGTTAGGAGACACAAATCCAGCAAAATGAAAGAGCTGACCTGCTCGGCGACTTGTTGAGAATCTTCCAAATGATGCGCAGACTTCAATCCTAGCAATTCCTATAATGAATTATGATTGATTTTGTAATAATATTAAAGCTTTAACCTAATAAAACTCTACAGCTGGTTTGATTGGTGGCATTAGAAACAGAAGGAAAATAACTCAAAGAATAAAAGGCTATCGAAAAGCATCAATGTGATGCCAAAATTCTTCGACTGCCAGAATGTTACCCATAGAAACTGTCATTAAATGAAAAACTTGGATCGCGAAACGTACATGTTCTCTTTCTTTTAACCATTCGTTAAGCATATCGAACACCTCGTTCGTACGAGCGCATAACTCTGCCAAACCATCCAGTTGTGCCGCTCTGAAAACCATCTTCAAGCGTTTAAACGGAAGAGAATTTTTTCATGTAAGCTAGAAAACAAAATGATTTTTCTGCATCACCTCATGTCGTTAAAGATCTTTTTCAGAAAAAGGTATATCAGCTACTACACTTGTTTAGATAGTTCAAAACTAAATGAAACCTTCCACAAGGCCATCGACTGATTAGTTTCATCTTCAAATTTCTGCGACGACGCCTAATTTTGCTTGACTATCGCAACGGTGACGCCTAATCTTAAGTACGTCTTTACGGGCCTGGTAGTTTTTGCGCCATAGGCGATCTATTTCAACAAATGAAAAATCGAGAACTGAGAGCATGGAGTATTGTAGAAAATACTGCGCTCTCCCATGGACGTGGACGATATCTATATTACAATCTACTAAATGTTAGTATGGTCCGTCATATAAACTCATTGCTGCTAGCACTTGGTAGTGCTTTGCAGTCAACGTTCAGACTGCTTTCGCATTTTTTTTACCGTCCATTCCACTCGATATGAACAACTAACTATAGCGATTACTGGAATTATATTCAATTGCCAGACAAATTACCGTCAAATGAACTCGTTCGTGAAATGATTTTCGACATTTTTGCGAGTGCAGAATACCGCTTTCCCGGCCAACGACCACCAAAACATCCGTGTTGGACACGCCATCAATCGATTATAACTATTGCAGGAAAATAGTTCTATGTGGTAAAATAAACTATGGAAAACAAAGGTGACCACAATAAGGGTAAAGCCGGCCGATTGTCCCCTAAAAAATATCTCCTGTAGAGGTGACGTCGTCGTGCAAGTGTTAAGGATAACGATGTTCAAAATTGTAAGTCAATTTAAGCTACCCGATTTTTACCTTTAGTAAAGTTTTCGGAGCCAACTAAAAAGGTTTCCTGAGTTTCACAACTCAAAATATAACAAGTATATTTGAGCGATCTCATTTTAAAACTAGATCTAAATCTAATAATCTAAAATCTAGTACATGTGACAAGAATAAAGAATTTTAGAAGGAAACATAGACTAGAAAATTCAAAACAATAGTTTGATTCCACAAAAATTGAATAGCTTCTAGAGCATCCAACACATTCAATTCCATCCCTTCAACACGTTTCATCTAAAAAGCGCCTTGTAAATACCGATCTCATGTGTTTCATCGGATTCAAATACATTAGATATAGAGGATTTCACCTATCCCAAACCTAACCATTCACGTTATTTGCTTTAGCATTATTCATTGATAAACATATTTATCCTCCCAATGTTTTAGCACCTCATTGTGGTTTGGAGGTATTCCTGGATATCGGAGTGCGATGTACAGCTGAGGAATTCATCTGCTCAGCAAGGTCTCCCAAGATAAAAAGAAGTCCGTCATTTCCCATCTAGGAGTGAAACAATGTCGAGAATGATCATCATCCTGGTATCAAACTAGTCGCATGGTGCCGAATCTCCCTTTGACCCACAAGGACGACGACTGTTTGGGGTGGTGACGACTTAAGGAGGCTTCGGCTAAGATGACCTCGAGACACAAGGGAATCACAATGGCTAAAGCAGCAAATCATCGGGAATGAAGATCATGCTGGAGCAAGCACAACTAGTGAATACGAGCCATCCAAGTATCGAAGTAAGTGAACAATTTTTGTTGGATAATATAGGCATAAAAAGAGTGTGAAGATGGATTTTCTCATTTTACACTACGTCTTTTTAAATTACGCAAACGGTTCCATTTGTTCGTACGACACACCTCACTTCAGCCCATTCGCAAATCGCTCGCCATCGATCGCCGATGGATTGAAGTCGTTGCTCTAACGCACCGATACGTTCATCTAGCGAATCAACGTCGTCTACCTACATCCGTACTATTAAATTTGAAAAAAAAACAATTGAAAAATATCCGCACTGTAGAAAGGTTCAAGGGAACTGCAGTTTATCTCTATTTCACTCCATGTGGGCTTTTAAATGAAACCTGACATTAATAGACAACCGTAGAAAAATTCATTAAGCTAATAAGCTAATATAAAAGATTTTGGCAAAATCAATGTTGAAACGTGAAAAATTCCGCAAAAAAACTAACCACAGCGACGAATGAGTTGAGATCATTTATGGTGTCCTGAAAATCATGGATTTTTGACTGAAGACAAGTATGCGCCTCGATTTGTTGAATTGCTGCTTCAGCGGTTGCAGCCAGCGGTTCGCATGACGTCATCTCTAACTCTATTGCAACCAACCACTTACCGATCGATTCCAATTCTCTGGAAGAAATCGAGACCACTCAATAAATCCAACATCAGCAGAAAAAATCATCTGATTGATTAGGCTGCAAATTTTTTTCAACCGTGCGAAGTCTCCTGACCATTACGATCAGAAACTCTCAACAAAGGAGAAGAGAATATTGGATACAAGGATTAGGCACGTAAAATAAAGGCACAAATATCTAGAAGAATACTAAATATGAACAAGATATAGCTTTGAACCAACTCTATCCGATATATAGAAGACACACTGGTGAATAACTGCGATAAAATCGTAAATTGAAGAGATAGATAGGTAAGAGTAGAATTGAAGCAAACACAAGGAAATCAGTAAAAATAAAAACGAATATTTCCATGGGTCAATAAGTAAAAACTTAGAAGAAACAATAGTAAAGCCTACAAATTTTGCAGTTTATTGATGTTCAGTTGTAGTTCGTTCTGTCGTTGCATGGAAAGTTCCCGAAGTGCCTCCCATCGGCCATTCACCACTCTCAATTGGCCTTCGATTGCTGTTCGTTCGTCTTCGTTCTCAGCTTTTCCACATAACAGTTGACCTCTGAACATGAGATAATCATTGATAAATAAAGAAAAAGATGTCGATGGGAAGATGTTTTTCAACCTTCAAGTTATTTCTTACGTAGAGTCTGGAACGCCCCTTTTCTTTCTAGAAAAATGTGATGTTGCTGCTTCTAAAGTATGCAGTGTGGACAATACAAGTAAATACCGATGGAATGTGAAGCAGGAATGAGGAATGTGAAGCAGACTAAAATCGTAAGCATTTATAGACAACGGCACATTAATAGTAGCAAAAAAGTTACACTAAGGAAGAAATGTATCGATGAGAGGATGGAAAAGAAATAGAGTGCGAAGGAAAAAGAAAAAATGGAAGAAAAGAAAAGCAAGGATGTGAGAGTTGAGGTAGTAACTATAACAGCATTTTTCACATCAAACTACTAACAAATGACATTTACCGTATGGCTCTCATCATTCATTTTCTGGTAACTTCTAGGTAATTTTCTAGGTAACTTTCAAAAGCTCTGTACTCGCCTGTGCAGAACTCTTCCTACAGTATCTTGACTCTCCGTGAGAGATGCCATGAATAGCTCGAAATCTTTAAACTGCTTTCGAACTGCCTTTAAATCGTTCTGATTCACATTTTCTAGCAAATTTAGTTCTTCTTCGGCTTCCAAAAGCCATGTCAAAACCTAAAACAAACTTCATGAAGAAATTGTAGTAAATTACAAATTAAAAGTGTTTCACACATGTTGGTTATAGTTAGAGATTATAGTTCCCAGGATCGACTTTCTATTAACCTCGGCATTGGAATATAAACGCATCGTTTTCTTGTTCAGCAATCGCGAGGTTTTTAAACAGCATACATCAGCTAGTGTTGTATTGTATTGTTTTTCTATGGAAGCAAATGTATGCTGTTTAAAAACCTCGCGATTGCTGAACAAGAAAACGATGGAGATTGTGATAAGTGCTATGAGCCACAACGGAATGGGCTACCGAAATTAAGAAGTGAAGAAATCATTAAAAAAGTGAAATCTGAATAAGAAAAAAGGATGATTAGGCAAAGAACAAAATTCATGGAAAAACCGTGCAAAAAGTTAATTTGCAATACTATTTATCTTAGAAATGAGTCCAACGGCTTTTTTTAAAGAATGCAAAGTCTCTTCATCGTCTCTGAATTTCCCAAGGGAATTAAAAACCAACTCAGCAAAAAGCATTTCAAAGCTACTACACCTTTTCCGACGTTTTCAAGAATTTCTCGCCCAGTGAAGGGCTTTCTTCTCAAAACAGAAAATCTCTTTCACCTGTTCGAGACAATTTTCAAATTCTCGTGTCATTTCCTCTTTTCGGGCTCGTTTACTTTTACTCGAGATTTGGCTTGACGATGAAGACTTTCGGGAACGCATTTCAGACTGAAAAGAAAACCTTTTAAAAAATTTCATACCGTATAAATTAAAACGGTGAAATTTAACTAAGGTTAGCAATTCTTTTCCGTTTCAAATAGCAAATGCGTTAGGACCCACCATGAGCGGTCTATCGAGTTTCCCTGCATTGGCGCACCTCTAGTAACAGATAAATGAAGTATTCTCATTTCTACACGTTCCTTATTTGTTATGATCTCATGAAAATAAGAACCGAACCACTGGACTTTCGAGACGACAAAAAGCATTAAAATGAGACAGATACATGAAGAAAGGATGTAGACATGGCCAAATCGTATATTGATATTTCATGCTAATAGTTACTTTATGGTGTGGTGGTGAACGCGTTACTTCCGGAACGGATAATAGTGCGTTCGTTGATCACCGCAGACACCTGCAGTCCGGAGTTTTGCGAATATCTCAGCATTATAGAAGTTATACTTCGCAACATACCTGGCCACTAAAAAGATTAGGCAGTAAATAAAACGGTTAAGATTGTTCCCAGACAATTCCTAAGACCGAGTTTCTATTAACCTCGGAATTGAGTTCACTGTTTCCTTGATGAACAGACATGAGGTTCTCGTCACGCGGCGAAAAAGCCAGGCACATTCCTGACTCATGTGAAACTCCGTGCGGCCGGTCTCCAATAACTGGAAGACTTAAAAAGAACAAAGCGGCAGGTGCTTGAGAGAAGATATTTACTAAGCGATTACAAACTCATGTATCAAATTTTTTCCTGCTATGATTATGGAAGGGTTTGAGTGGGTAGAATGCGTGTCAGTTTAACCTTTTCATACTCTGAAGAAGTCGAAGCAAAACAGTCGAAACGTTAACCAGCATTGTACTAAATAGGTCATACAGTTAACAATCCTTTATCTGTTGATTAAGAAAACAGTGATTATTTGTTTCCAGACAAATCTAGTACCAATTTTACAACCCCGGAAGAAAAACGGGCTTAATGATCCTGGTAAGGATCGATATAGTGGTCATATGTATATTATAGCACGCCATCTCTAAGCACTGCGCATCCCGCATTCCAATAACAAAAACAATAACAGCAATTATAGTATCAATAATGATAATGATAATAACAATAACGATCGCAGTAACAATATTAACAAAAATTGGTCGATATTTAAATTCAAATAACTAAAAGCGACCTCAGTCGATGGTTGATCGATGCTTTTCTCATGAGGTCGTTTAGTTCGCACGGTGACCTCCGCCGGCACAACTGATGTGGACGTTGACGGTGTTGCCGCTTAGAAACAGTAATCTATTACTTTCATTGATTTTTCCAACAACAACTCTTACATTTCACATTAATTTACTTGCAGCCTAGTGGAATACTAGGAGGATTTTTTAAAACGTGATAAATCTCAGCAATAGTTAGACATGGCATTGACTAGGAGAAATACAGCTGTTTTTTGTTCTGTTTTTTCCCAAAACCTATGCTCGACGTTCCCTAGTCTTCCCACATTTTCCTATTTACCATAATAAATATACACCTTCTTTCTCGATTTTCTATAGAAATCCCGCTATTGATTGATTTTGTTAGGTAAACTATCACTAGCATAATAAAAAATAGCCATCGATTTCACGAAGTTCATTTGAAAAGTGGTGCTCTAAAACGCCCAGATTATTCCAAACACTGCAAAAAAAATTTTAATTTCCAAGATTTCAAACTCATCACAAATGAAAAGCAGAGATGTATTACTAACGAATGGGTTAACAGTAAAAACTACTCAAATTCAAACCATCTCTAAAAACGCTATTAGAAAATGTTTGCTCTGAAAATTCTATAAAAGGATTGATGCGACTTATTAAGCAAAGTCGATTCTCCTAATCAAGTCAACATCAGTGGATTTTTTCTACAAATGCTATGCATTTTAAGCAGAATGCCTTTTTTTCAAGTAAAAAGAAGAGGATCAAAGATGGAGAATCTTAAAAATCCTAGACTTAACCATTCTTTTCGTGCGCTTTATGATTAGCTGTTATGATGAACCCAGAGAAAAGTCAGACGTACAACATTGCTGTGGTTGTTGACGTTGCTGCTGTAATTCTGGCTGCGGTACTTGTTGCTGTTGCTGTTGCTTCTGTGGTTGAATTGGCAATGCCACTGTCTCTGTGTCTGGCTGAATCGGAACTGCCATAATTTCAATGGCTGGTTGAATTGACCCTACCGACGTCTCTGCGGGCATCAAACTCCGAAGTTGGGAAGGAGACGTTGGAGCAGCTAAATAGAGAAAGCGTTTGAACCGCTTAAGAACAAGTCAATGAGTTAGACCCAAAGTTTAAATTTATGCAAATATGAATAAAAAACGAACTAGAAATCGATAAAAATAAATAAAGGAAAGAAAAAGGAAGAGTAGTGACGAGAAAACTGGAGCCTAGATTATGTGCAATTAAATTAAAAGCACAAAATATTAAATCCTTGTAAGTACTGGAGCTTAAAAGAAAACTGTGAAACGTTATGAGTTGTGATATTTGCAAAACTTCAGATCGTAGGTGTCTACGACGGGAATCAAACCCACTATTACCCCTTCTGAGGACTAACGTGTTCACTACCACACCATGATTTCGTCATACCTGTGGTTATATTTCACATCATTCCCTGCCATGAAAAAAAAACATGAAAGAACGTGCTGTAAATAATCAGCTTAACTGGCTTCAGTGTCGATTTGCGCTGTCCAGATCATTCCCGTCGACGTGGGTTACTGCTGATAATAGCTATACGTGAAAACAAGGCTGAGAGAAAGGCGAAACGAAGGACCCGCATGGTGAGATGTTGAACACATTAATCCCCTGAAAGGGTTATAGCGGGTTCGATCCCCACCGCAGACACCTGCTGTCCGCGATTTTGCGAAAAAAAAAGTATTTCGGCATCATTGTGGTTATATTTCGTACCAATAATATGGCATGAAAAAAGAATAGGCAGCAAATAAAAAGTGATGCTATAAGCAGCTTTAAGTATAAAAGCCTAATGTAGTAAGAAACCCCCCAACAGTTTACCGCCACGTCGTGGTTGGGAGGTGTTCCCGGGTGTCTGACTGCGATGTACAGCGGAGGATTCGTCTCCCAGGCAGGGTCTTCCAAGCTGAGAAAGAGTCCGACTTTTCCATTAGGAAGCTTAGCTAAGAGTAAATCAATCTGGTATCAAAGTTGCATGGTGGAAAATCTTCCTCTGATCCACAAGGGTTACGACTACCTCTCGTGGTGACGACCTGGGTTAGACTTTAGCCACACTGTTCTCGGGACTCCACGGAACCACAATGGCTTAACCAGCAAATCTCCGAAAAATCGAGATTATGCTGGGCCCGCACAACCAGTGAGGACGGGCAATTCAAGTACCAAGTAAGCAAGGAAAAAGAGGGATAATTTCACAACGTACTAAAACTTGGTAAACAAACTAAGCAAGTTAAAAAAAAGGAACCTGGTAAAGGAAAAGCTTAGAAAACTTATTTTTTCTCAGTAATCGATACATATTTCTATCGAATAAGAAACAGAGAAAAACAAAAGGATAATTAAGCAGTTAACTATTTTTTACACTGAGATCGTTTTCTTATCGCAGTACAGTAGCAATTCTCTTCAATTTCCAAAACATGTCCGAATTTTTGACACTTTAGCACTTTTCAGCTGTTTAATATCGCTTCACTGTATTAAATGTTACAACAAAGCAGTTTTTAGAAAGGAAAACAAATATTATCAACAAATCGTATATAATGCTGAGATATTTGCAAAACTCCGGACCGCAGGTGTATGCGGTGGTGAACGAACACGCGCTATTGTCCTTACCGGGGAATAGCGCACTTCACCACCACACCATCTGGGTCCTTCCGCAAACACCTGCGGTCCGGAGTTTTGCAAATATCTCAGCATTATATACGACTTATATTTCACAACATACCCTGCCATTTAAAAAAAGCAGTAAATAAAAGGGTTAAGATTATCAACAAAATTAAATTTGGGAAAAAGAAAGGAAAAACGGTTCACCGTCGGCGATGGACGACATTTCGACAATGGAAGCCTTCCGATCGTCGGCGAAATATATGGTGTCCTGACGCTGAGGACCTATGAAATGCTTCTTTATTTTAAAAACGACTAAAAGGTTGTTTAAGACGGTACTCACTCGATAGTTCATGAGAAGGAACGTCCACCAGCGGGTCCTGAAACGTAAAATTTCGGTGGGTGGAAAATTAGAAAGAACTTGGTAGAAATAGGTTTGCAACAACCATAGTCAATAGTCAGGATCACAGCGATAAAAATAATCACAAACAAAAAATAACAGACTTATATTAGGATGATGTCGTCAAGTGTTCTCGTATTATTGTAAAATTTATTAAATTTTTTAGAGTAAGTTGTACACTTAGCTTGAACAGACCAAGCTAGATTTGATCTGTTAATGGATTGCCGACTCAGCGAAAACGTAAACACGTTTTTTGCTCTCTTACACTTTTTCAAGCTTATTAGTAATCTTATGGGAGATTGAGGAGAAAGTTTCAAAGTGAGATTTACGGTGAGTCGATGAATGAACTGGAAAATCAAACAAATGAACTAACGACATTTGGAACTAGTGATCTTTCATATAGAACTGGACGGCTGTTGATCTACCGTTGATCGATTCCATAGATCAATATGCACTTTTTAATCATACCGTCCAGGAGACAGTAATCGGATTATTTACTAATTACTACAAAATAATAACTAGGTCAGATCAAATTTTGATTTCATTCACCTCTGAGCCCATCCCTAATATCAACTGGATTAACTGAAAAAAGATGGAGCGAAATGCCGTGAGTTTTAAGTCTTCTAAGCAACATACTGTGAATGACAATAAGGAAAAATTTTTTTGATAAGAAAAATATCTGTATACGAAGAGGCGACAATTAAGACCACAGCGTAAACATCTAATTATGTTTGAAAGATCGCCTAACTCAACGTTACAATATAGGAAAGAAAGGTGGAGCAACACAAAAACGGACTCCAAACCACATTGCCTGAACGGTAGAACCCTGACCTCCATGTCAAAAACGCTTCTACAGCTTCTTCTTAGATCCAAATTTTTAAAACACAACACAATTCCAATAATTTTGGAATAAAACTAATGCAACTGGAAATCAGTGTAAAGACGCGCTACTTTATAAGAATAACTTGACAGGTTTTTTTTTAAAAATTAAGACTAAGTTAGTACTACAACCAGAGGAACGGATAATCTCGAATACCGCCTAGATCTACCTCTTATTGACACAAATATTAAAAAATTATCAACTTTTGAAGCCGGCAGATCTATTATAATATTGAATAAGCCGACTATTCATTAATGTTCATTCGTTTGAAAAAAATATAGAATGTTTACGTTTTTCTATCAGTGATATTTCCTCAAAAGTTTAACACCTCAGCCATGAGAGACCGGGCAAACCAGGTTGGCCGGTTGGAAGCTTATTCCACAGCTATGAACACCCAAGTTGAAAAGAAGTTAGACTTTCACCCCCAAACTGAGAGTCATCAAAGCTCGGACTAAGTTAGGTATTTTCATGTAAAACCCTTATAAGAGTAAACCTATACCATGGAATAGGTAACAAGCTTCTTTTTGCTATGATGACATAAAAAAGAGTTCGAAAAAGTTATCATGCTGAGAATGTGAAGCTCTGCCTCACAAAGGATTGAAACCAGCTGAGGAGCGCTGAGACGAGTTTTACCAGTGCCAAGCCGAGTTCTCCTATGATTAACGGTGTCAGTTTGACATAGATCGATTGAAGATTTTTATCACTACCAATTCTTCAATATTGCAAAAATTTGATTAAAAAAACCTTTTCAAATCAGTAACACCAACTAAAAGCATTACAATCCAAGCGAGAAATGAACGAAATAAACATGGAAAGATAGAGAAACAAATGAACAAACAAATAAAGAATGATTAAACAAGAACATGGCCAGAAAGAAATAAAACAGTTTTAGAAATTATTCTCCCAATCACGGTGTGTTTTTTCTTTAATGCAAACATGAAAGAATAAACAACGTCACAGAGTTGAATTGAAGCACCACTGCAAAAAAAAAATAAGGGTGGAGATTTAAAAGATGACCAAAAAAGATAAAAGAACGATAAATGGGCTCAATAGCTGTTGCATTCTATACAACGAGCCAATCCATTTCATCTTCAATTAGACTGATAAAAAGCAAAACGTACAGGCCTAAAAAAGATTGGAAAGAGGAAGGATCAAAGGCACGAATGAGGTGACCTCTCACCCGATGATGCTCTTTCATGGTCGACTGATCATTAAGGATTGCCTCTCCTGATAGCAATCTATCCGACTACAGTTGGAATTGCTAATCAGAACTCTTATCACAAACAGGATGAATCGTGGGAATAAAGTTGATAATCCCGAATCACCAATCAAGCAAGATCTCTTGTTCCACGACGTGCAGGATATTTGCTGGTAATGAATGATTCTAATCTGCTCTATATTTCAGTCGATACGATTCTGAAGACCAATACACCGCCAAAAGCATAAGCTGTACTATGGACACTTGACTGAAACCAAAACAACGGTGACACTGAGAAAAACGATATGACCGAAAATGTTAACCAGGACGATAAAAAGCTGTAGCAACTTTGTATTAGCAATCAACAGACAAACTGTTAATTACTTATGAGGTGGCCAAGTTAGTGAGTTACAGAAGCACTGAAATAGCACGTACTGGCATTTCGACCGAATTTAGTAACGAGAACCGAGGTAAATGCTTCCGATAAATGGAATGCCTGCACGAATGACAGCTGTGAAAAGCAATAAACGGATTTTTTTTTGAATTCTTGACGAGAAGTTACTAGCAGGAATTATCCGAATGGGAGATGAACGTCGGGACGGATTACGACCAACGTGATGAAATCATTGAATGGCGGATAACATGATAGTTAGGTGTCGATTGTTGTGTTTGCTGCTTAACACCTGACATTTTATGATGAAAATGTCAGCGACTAGAGGGAGAGAAAGCGAGAGGAAGACAACTGGAGTAGTTTGATCTGTTACATTTCAGGAGTTTTGCATCCATTTGCTATATGCACCTGTGTGATTTGTCATGTTGTTATTTACCATATGGTTTTGCTGACTATTTTTGAAATATGACATCATTTTCAAATCACAGATCCAAGTGGATCTAGGTATTTTAAAGAATCTAGCCGCCAACTACCTCACTTTATTATCTTTCTTTATTGTATTCGAAGTTACCATACCATAGTCATAAGACAGCATCATTACCACGTGTTGGCTTTTTTGCACAATCTTTATTTCTTATCGGAATCATTTAATTACAAAAAGGCGTACACTGATGAATTTGGGATTACGGTACTCACGGTTGCCTGCAGAGCAGCAATTGAACTTTTTCCAAGTAACGACAAGTACAATGTCATCAGATAGCAGACCACGGAATGCGAGTCCAAATGTTCGCTGTGGAGATCTGAAACGTTCCACTAAAAGCTTTCCATCCGTTCTGTTGCCTTTTAAAAGGTTGTTTACATCGCTGTAAAATAATAAAAATCTAAAATCATTAATAAGTGACACAAGGAGAACAGTGAAGAAACAACCGAGGGATGAAAAATAGGTAAGAATGATGAAGTAAACAAAAATTTCACACTGAAAAGACGGCCACATAGGCATTTCGACAACTGAAGAAACTCTATCTAGCATACAATACGATAAACTTAACATATTTCGAGATACATTAGAAGTCAAAGAAAAATAGGATGATTTAGAACTTACTTACTTGGACGGTCTGTCTTCACGAGCTGTGCGGACCCCAGCACATATGCTATTCATTCCTTTCTCTCGCAATATTATTATGATTATATTATGTTACGATATAATATGATATATATTATATATATGTTATATTATATATATTATATTATATATTATTATATTATGTTATTATATTATTATTATTTACTATATATATATATATATATATATATATATATTACATTTTATACATATTATTATATGCATATATTATGGTTATTGTTATATTATTATCATATTACTATATATCATTATATGTTATTTTTATGATTACTTAAAACAAGGCCATAAATAAAATGTATGACGCAAGTTCCGCGTCACGTCGTATGTTCAACTTATCTGTAATGAGTCACAAATGACTCATATGTACTAGGTGTCATGAATCCTTTTTTACTCTTTTGTAGTTGAGGATCATTTTTCTGACAGTAAAGCGAATGAACAAGTAGGACTTTGTTTTGTGGGATAAGACATTGCCTACCAAAGAAGGAGACGTTTGATACACATGGCGACTCAAGTGTTCTTGTCCAGATGTTGGTTAAAAGAATAAGCTTTAGAAAAATTATAATATGTACAACTGGAAAGAATTAGAAAAAAACCCATCTAGAAAGTTCTCGAAAACATAAGTCCTAAAGGAATACTTTAATAACCGACAAACTCGCGCCTTCTTGAACGCATTGACCTAAAACTTCCATGTACTACAACGCAATGTTGGTAAGTGAACGATCAATGGTCCAACTTCTATCCTATTCAAAGATTTTGCTCATAAAGTGTCGGTCAACTGACGCTAATCCAACCATCAAACACACTTTTCTGTTTCCACAAAAAAAACCAGCCCCTAGCAAGGTGCCATGTTTTTGTGCAGGCCAAATTCTCATAGTTATTGACATAACAAAATCGCAAGGTGGTTATGCTCCACCAGCAGTAAATCTTCACGCTTAACTTTTGCCCACTCTTGTTTCTCACCGGGCTTTGAAATTTACAAGCCGCATAACAGATTTTGTGACAATTGTCGAATTGTCGAACAGCGTTGTCCACCACCTTGGTCATAAGTCATTTACTGAAATGGACGAAAGAAATTCACTTTCGGCAAATCATGCTGCTTTTCTACTTACCTATTGGTGCCAGCAAATCGGTGAATTCAAAAAAAGGAAGGGGAATTAAAAGCAGTTAAATTAGTGAGCTGAAAGATGTATTAAAGAAAGTCATTTTCTGGAAGTATTGGATTAAGTGCCAAGAAACAAGTTCTGTTCTGTGAAGAACTCCTGCAGCATACACGAAATTAGTGTGGATCGTCTACTGATAGGAAAACAACTGGAGCGAAGAAAGTCTGATCACGCAGTGTTTCTCAGCACCGACAGGTTTTCGGCATGTTTGTTAACGTATGAAATACATAGGCCTTCGTATTTGAGTCACTGAAAGCTCAAGGACTCCAGGCATAATACATTCGATGAGTTTGAAAGGCGATATGACAGCTGTTCCACGAAAACATCAACACCACTTCATCTCCTCGGCAGCTTCTATTATCAGTGCTCAACGAAGAATGCTGGTATCATCCTCGTCAAGACAGCAAGTCGATCTTCGCTTAATATCTAGTTAAATCACAGCTGATATCACCACTGATCTAAGCATAACAAGAAACGCTACACAAAATGATAAAGGGTAAAGTGTTCAGCGCTGTTCAATCCCTTAGGGATAAGTCAAGCACGCATTCTACTTCATAGAGCATCGCAAAGCTGAATTAATGGATGTCCAGCTTGTATAATAACTTGTAGTAAACTACCGATATGTCACATCAGTACTTTTTTATCCCCTCAAATAGGTATGTTATCGATTCGCCGACGCCGTAGTGATGGAGGTATAGGTTAGCCCAGACAGCGGCATAGAACCAACGACCATACGTATATGATAGGGTACCCCTAACCACTGCTCTACAAATGCCTCAAGTTCACGTGCTCTTTGTAAGCTTCGAGAAACTTATCATTATGTAGAAGATGGACTACTGTGAATGCACAACAGATATCTGCAACGATTTCATCAAGTAGACATTACCCATCTTAAAAATGCTCCAGCTTTACGGTACCAATCTTAGCTCCATAGTCTGGATGACGAGAATTTCCTGACGGATATCGAGTATGTGGTTGATGCCAAATGGAGCAAATGACAAACAGTGACACTAAAGAGTTACTAAACAACGAAGGAAGTGCTATTGAAGTAGAAGCAAAAGATCCAATGAACAGGAATATGATACGTGCCGCTGTGTGAAAGACGAAATGCCAGACTTCTTTTTTTCTCAGAGACTTCAAAACACAAACAAGTCTTCAACTAAAGGAACAGTACAGCACATAGGTGCGTGTGTAGCGCTGTAATTAGAGGTGTCCTACAAAACGTGGTAGTTGGCTAAATCGCACGCCCAGGCCTCACTAAGTTATCCATCTCTCCGGGGTCGGCAAATTGGTGCCACATCTGTCTGGGAGGATAGCAGCACTGACCCGATACATCGGTAGGCCACCGCGAGTCATTGTAAAGGCCAGATATGCATCCAATTACCTCCAAACGATGCTTAATAAAGTCGAATGCATGGCGCATCTCTCAGTGGTTGGTCAGCGATGAAAGCCTTTTATTCTTTGTCCTTTCACAGCAGATGAAAATAATAACAACAACAACAACGTCTCAATCACCAAATCCACTATAACTCCATGACGGCTCACAGAGTAGATTGTAAGCTTCAAGGTAGAGTATGTAGAAAATGTAGTTCATCTACAGGACGGTATTTGATTTCGTAGTGTTTTAAAAAGTATAGGAAAATTAAACTCAAAAAGAAAGTATGGTAGCAAAAGAGTTTGACCGTACGATATAAGAATGGAAGGGCCGAATTCCCACAATGCATGAAATCACAACAAACTATTTACTTCTCGAGATAAATTTAGAAAAAGGAACAAAACAGCGGGTCGTTCTCCTTGAATAGCTACGAAAGTAGGCTAATAAGAAAAGCAGAGAACGATTTTAGAAGTCATTCCTAAAAGTACCCTACAGTTCCATTTCTACTCATTATTATTTGATCTCGATGAAAAAAAAGTTTCACCAATTTTAAGAATCATCAAACATTTCCTTACTAAAATTCCAGCAGCCACACAAAAAGTTATTTTTTTCATTCTATGGGTTTTTGGTAAAAATGAGCCACTTAATAGCACAAATGCAAATGGACTCAAAAAGTTTGAAAAAAAATAACTAAAAAACTTTAATTGTTAGCTAGACCATGATGTTGACGAAGATGCACGAGAAAAGGAGGATAAAATTGGTGACATGAAAAAAGAGAACTGGACAAGTGAATCCAGAAAATGGCAATGAAGAAAAGATAAGAAAGGGATGACGAGATTAAAAGAACATCAACGAAATCCGTGTCGGTCCCACAGCTGATGAGAATTGTTGGTTAAATGCTTTTTCTTACCAGCGCCTTGGATTACACAACTATAGCTTACCACGATTTTATTCCATAAGAATGGATTAACACGTAATGACTGATGAAAATATTCCCTACGAATCCGAAATATTTCTCGGTAAAATTGCACGTAATGATAGAACGTGTGAACAGGTGATTAGCAAGGAAGAAACTAAGATTCGGTCGAATCCTCTCCAGTCATGTGACGTGCTGTGAAAGGGCTTCTCAGTAATCTCTCCAAGTGAATTTAGTCACTAGGACCATTAATATAAAAAGTGTAAAGGAATCAAACTGTTAATAATTAAGTGACACGAGAGATCAAATTAAAGTAGCACTATGGCCTGTTTTTAAATAATTGTATGCGAGTTCATAGCAATTCAAAGTTATAGAGATGGAGAAGAAGAAAGGTTTCCAGAATATAGTGAATAAATATCATAAAAACAAAGTTGGGAACTAAATTCTTTCAATGTCCTGATGGAAAAAAGAACTTAAGAAACTATGAAGAGGATGGTCTTGGCTTCTTGCATCATTCTAGATCAATCAGTTATTTCGTCCGGTAATCGTAGGAATCACAGCTGTCTTGAAATAATCCTACTCCCAAGGCAGCAAACCTCACTCCAATCTACGAAGCCCAACAAAGTCCTACGATAACTAGTGCTGAACACCTGAAAAAGCTACAAAACAGCTATCCACGGATTTGAGGAAAAACCATGCCAACCAGAACTCGACATTTCAATGATCAGAAAAAACAATGGGCCATCAACCTTTTGTCAAGACTCATATAGGAACGTGTCCGCCTTCAAGGAAGATGGTTTTAAACCCACAAAACGAATGGAAAAAGTGCTAGAGGCCGGAAATGATATAAGGACAGGCTACCGAAGCATCTAACAAAGAAAAAACGAGTTTCTAAACGAATAAAAAATATTAGCCGTTATAACTGAAAATGAAACATAATAAATGAAGTGAACGGCTTAAAGAGCTCGGAAACGGTTGTCAATCGCGTAAGCGAGAAAAAAGACATGGAAACTTCTGAATTAACTTTTATTCTGCTCGTCTCAACTTACCGAACAAGCCATTCAAACGCTCTACACGAATGGATTGGCAGCGGATTCATCGGCGAAGTGACAAACCACTAATGTTCTACAACAACCGAACACCGTTACTTCACATGTAAAATCCAAGGATATCGAGTTGCTTCGAAAACTTATGACTACTAGATGTCCTCATCAGATTCTCCAAAGAAAACCCTTTTTTCTCTTTTTTTTTTTAATAAACAATGAGATGTACTTTGTGACAAAGTTCGTTGAGAATCGGAGTGAACATTAATCCTTGCGGTTCCTTACTACTAGGGAGGGCTACATAGCAACTACAGAACTTTTTCAGAATTCAAAGAAAGTCATCCTAAATGAATCGCCTATATTCCTATTAATCATCAACGGATTCGAACGAGCAACCAAAGAGGTTTCACTTCGCCCATGTCGAGAACCAGAGCTGCTCTAGTAGGCTCCGCCAGTTGGCGAAGAACATTCACAATCTTGGGAAGTTCTTCAGTGTCATAGCTCAGCATAGCAAGCAGAAGAGTGCTCACAACTATCTGTGTTATAAAGCTAGGCATAGTCATAGGTAGCTGCAGCTATTCCAAAGATATAACTTATGTTTGAACTGATATACGACTCATTTGTTGAAGAAGTCAAACCGCCGTGAACCGTTACTCATCAGCCCACTTGGCAGTCGTTGGCCAAATTAGCGGCCAGAATATAATCACACCTTTTTTCATGAATATGTCAAAAAGAAACGAAGAACACGTCTCAAAAATCCATTTGCGTTTCGTTTTCGGTCATGTACAACCGATGCATTCAGCACCTGCAAACGCGCCTCAGAGTCCCGCGACTGACAAGGTTCAAGATCCCTGTGTGGGGGCTCACGGCTTCTTTCTTTGTACGGTTATCGCAATTGTTAAGCATATATGTGATTGAATTAAATCCTCTATGTGCCTATATTGTTGAGCTTACACGAGGTTGATACGAGATGTTTATTTGGCTAACGTTTTCTCGTCTTCGCCTTCATCAGAGCCAACAATCCTTGTCGATGGTCCACAATCCTTCCTCTTCTCGATGTCGAGGTTAAATGATGGTCGGTTTCGAAATTAAACCCTCTATGACGAACTCTGTA